TGACTCATGAGTCATGACTGTACTTGAGCGGATTTTTGTCATACATTCACAACCAGGGAGTCGCCCGACTCCCTGGCCGGCCCTGTACTACATGATTGTATACTACTAGTACTACTACTAGTATACAGTAGTATTTTTTTTAAAGGGGAAGTATACCCTAAAATCAAATTTTCACCAGTTGTAGTCTTCGGGGTGCTGAGTCGAATGGTCTTAGTCCGAGAAAGCTGCGACGCTCCCTTCCTACTTGAATCCCAATCGAACTCGCGCACTTCCACCGAAACTGGGTGACTGCGCCCTACTAGATGGGGATTTGTATGCAAAATGTCACTAAAAGCGCCATTTCGTTCTTATAAAAGCACGGATGACCGCGATTGGCCCATATGTTGTAGTCTTTTGGACGCTGAGTCGACTGGTTTTGGTCCGAAAAGGCTGCGATGCAGCGTTCCTCCTTTATTCCCAATCGAACATGGTTGAAGAAGCGGTCACGTGGTCCTGGTTGCCCAAATCACCTGGTCACCGCGCCAGCAGGCGACAATTTTCACACCAAGGTTCAACTCGAGTGACAGGACTGCACCCAAAAAAGGTCAAACAGGCTAGTAAGTTGTACCCTGCAGGCACGGTGACCAGGTGACTGGTGTACGCAGGAGCACGTGACCGCTTCTTCAACCATGTTCGATTGGGAATAAAGGAGGAACGCTGCATCGCAGCCTTTTCGGACCAAAACCAGTCGACTCAGCGTCCAAAAGACTACAACATATGGGCCAATCGCGGTCATCCGTGCTTTTATAAGAACGAAATGGCGCTTTTAGTGACATTTTGCATACAAATCCCCATCTAGTAGGGCGCAGTCACCCAGTTTCGGTGGAAGTGCGCGAGTTCGATTGGGATTCAAGTAGGAAGGGAGCGTCTCAGCTTCCTCGGACCAAGACCATTCGACTCAGCACCCCGAAGACTACAACTGGTGAAAATTTGATTTTAGGGTATACTTCCCCTTTAAGGTGGCTCGCGCCTATTTCTAAACTCGTCTTTTGCGCAGGTTCTCGCGCATCATACGTTCGAGAAAAGACATGCAGAGTTGGCGTAGCGAGCTTGTAGCGCACTCCAGTTTCGAAGGGTCCAGCTCGAGCAGATGGCCTGAGTACGAAACTCTCGTACTCGAGTCTAGAGTGTGGGCTTTTTTCTTCTTCTTTTTCACTCCTTCACTTGGCTACTTTTTTTAGGTGCATTTTTTACTTGTGGAAATTGTCACCTGTCAGAGAAGTGTTGGGATGTCCCTTCCAGCAGGCACTGCCCATGCCCATGGTCGGCTTCGGAAAAAGAGTAGAATAAAAGCGTTGGAGTCTATGTATGTGGATGTCTTGGAAGGAATGGGGGACGGCACAGACGGGTACGTGAATGTGTAAAACCTGAGTATTTTGTATTTTCGTTGAATTGGTTCAAGTGACTTGGCGAGTCCCTTCCACAGTAGAACGCCATCCTTCGCAAAATTTGTCTGACTATTTTGTCAAGAATGGCCGTTCTATAATGATAAATCGACTCTGAAGCCAGTGGATTATGGAGGTCGCCCTTGAATATAAATTGAAATGGTCACGAATGTACGAAAGTATTTTTGATTCGAACATGTACTGGAAAACGTGGTTGCATTGTGTCAGTAGAGGGTACTACTGTAGTACCGTATTATCTCTAATATAAGCACAGTCTCCAATAATAGCACGTCTCCAATAATAGAACACCTTGGGGCGGCATTCAAAAAATAAAGTGCTCAGTCTCCATTATAAGCACACTGTGTAAATTCATTATCTGTACCGGCGAAAAAAAACCCTGAAATGTGTGTGTCTGACATGAATTTGGCATGGCAACAAGCTTCTGAAATGAGGTTGAAATAATAATGGAACAGTCTCCAATAAAGGAACGTCTCCATGAATAGCACGGGGCGGAGGTACATTGAAAAAATAAAGGACCGTGCTTATATTAGAGATAATACGGTATCTCACCATTTCTTTATGGTAATCGCTGTCCACCAAGAACTCTACTATAGTTATTGCCACGGCTTGATCACAGCGGTACACTGAGTTTTTGTTGAGAAATTCCTTCAATTTATTGTCTTATCACTCTGACTAGACTCAGTGCTTGAGCGTTTTATTTAGGATGCATTTTTTAGAGATTGATATTTACCAGTATGTGTTTCACATCACTCCTGACGAGAATACGCATTTGAAAGCAACACTGGCTGACAGCAATCATGCTCCCCAGGCTCTAGTGTGTGTGTGTGTGTGTGTGTTACAAGGGCGTGCATGGCAATTTGGTAGAGTATGTGTGAACACAAAGTCCACTATATATTCACAAACTCAAGTACATCGCAAAATTGTGCCTTCGTATCGCATATTGTGCCTTCATAACTTTGACTAGCCCTAACCTGCTGTCTGACAGGTGTGTCATTGGTGAATGTACATGTATACTGTCTCCCTTCACAACTACGTGCATGTAACACAATATTTACAGTGCACTTGCAGTGTATATAGCTAGATCAATGCACAGTAACCAGTAAATTGTGGCTGCCTCTGTCACATTGTCATATTCACGCGACGTACATTCTAAATCATCGAAAATGCCCAAACCTATTTCTTCGTGTGCAGAAGAAGATTGAACACATTCTTTCCTTGCATCTGCGCCTTGATCCTTGAAGGATGATGGCGTTCCTACGGATGCGGAAAACTCGGCCTCTAGCCGAGTCTGACGCGAACCGTGAATTTTTTCCTTGACATTGGTTGATGGCATCAGTCACATCTAAGAGCGACACTCTATCTCAAACATATTTACGCAAAGAAGTAGTAATCTTATCTTCATTGGAGCGATGGTCTGCAGGCGTGCGATCATGTGTGTGCCTTGTGTGTGTGTGTGTGTGTGTGTGTGTGTGTGTGTGTGTGTGTGTTTAGTCACTGTTTACACGCACGTTTGTGTGTGTGGTGCGTGTGTGTGTGTGTGTCTGTCTGGCCTGGTATGAGGTTGCTCAGGATAGGTCTGCCTGGCGGGTGGACTGTCTTATCTACCATCGGTCGTTTCGCCAGCCAGGTGACAAACAAGGCACAAATGTGGCGCAGAGCAAAGTCTCCCCATCCAGGATCAGCGTGGTGCTGTGCAGTGTGGTACATGCAGAAGGTGGTTTCACTCTCGTGGTGGCCTGCGTGTGCATCATTGTTTGCCCCTGGAACCATTGAAAGTGTCCGCCGGCATCATCTATTCCGCTCAGCGTCCATGCTTCTCTCTTGTGTTTGACATGCAATCGGCAATTCAAGTCAGTGCCTGGTTTCAGACGTCACATGTGCGACCGTGGCCATCGGGCAACCAAGTCTGACAGAGCGTCATATTGTGTCCGCTGTTCTCGCTGCAGCCGTCAGTTCCGTCGACAGAGTGACCTGAGTCGTCATCTCCGTTTCTGCTCCTGACAATGACTCCGGCTTCTTTCGGAATGGTGTGGCCCTTGGGCAACCATGCTACAGTAGCAGTAGTAGTAGTAGTGTGTGTGTGTGTGTGCGTGTGTGTGTGTTCTGCCTCGCCTAATAGCTATCATCGCCTTCGGCGATGGGCTTTCCAAAGGTCCAAAGGTGTGTGTGTGTGTGTGTGTGTGTGTGTGTGTGTGTGTGTGTGTGTGTGCGTGTGTGTGCGTGTGTGTGTCTGGAGCGCCACCGGGTGGCGTGCTCTTTCTCTCTCTCTCTGCTGCCCTTCCGGGGCCCACGTGATCCTAGTGGTAGTGGCTCGACAGGACAGGTGTGTGTGTGTGTGTGTGTTTGCATGTATGCGTGTGTGTGTGTGTGTGTGTGTGTTTGTGTGTGGTATGTGTGTGTACACTGGTGTAAATGTGTATTGCAGGGTTGGGTGGGCTAGTAGAGAAGAGTAGATGTATATGGACATGTACATGGGATATGTAGGTGTGCATGTACATGTAGCAAAGCAAACTTATCAAAAAGGCATTCTGCGCCTATATGGCGAAATTGAGCATTGAAGCATATGTTTTTTATTTTCTCATTGGCATGTACACAGTTAGTCCATTCAATAACCAAAAAATGAGGAAGATTGTAAATCAGGTTCTTGATGAAATACCCGTCCGCTATACATCACAAATCCTGTACAAATTTGACAATTTAGTGAAATTGTCATCGCCTATATCTCAAAAGTTAGCATTGAGACCCCGTTTTTTTAACTCGCCATTTGCATACACTACCTAAGAGCAACCGCCCACCAAATTTTCAGAGCAATCGTTAATTTTTTTGAAATAGGCGTGAGCCACCTTAAACTAATTATAAACTATACAATCATGTAACCAAGAGTAGATAAACAAGAGTGTGCAACTCCGGATCTCTCCTGCACAATCTGCAGATACCCCCGCCCACGGCGGAATTTTTTGTTGACGTCACCTTTTTTCAGAAGAATGCGCATTTTGCTGCAGAGCAGTGTGAGAGCACGTGCTGGGCACAGACTTTGTAGTGCAAATGCGGCCAAGTGCACGAGGGAAAACTTTCCGAAAGACTCATAGCGCGTGCGTCGTCGAAAAGATTACGTCAACAAAAAATTCCGCCGTGGGCCAACCCATCCGCGAGTTGCACACTCTTGATGTAACGTGTTTACTTGTACTTGTAGCGAAAAACGCACTGATTCCGTGAAGGACCGATCCGAGGTACTATACTAGCGGTACTTTTGACCGGAGCAGCCATACCAGCTTGAAGTAAAGTAACAGTTAGTTTGCACTAAATATTTGGTGACATAAAGACTGATTATGACTAGGCTGTCGCTTGAGCCTTTGAGGTGACAAGTAGTTTTGACCAGGGAGTAGATCTACGAGTCATAGATCTACGACTCCCTGGTTTTGACACTTCGCGCACTCATCGCTCCATTTTTTCTCCTGGGGGAATACCCACCAGCGACAGCCAGTTAGCTAGCTCAGCGTTGTACAACACTCACCCAACAGGTACACTCAACGACTAATTATGTAGCACAATGATCATGATGATAAGTGGAGGATGTTGCTTGTTGCCTCCAATCATCCAGTGGTTTTTTTTGTTGGCTCGCTGCAGGAAAGTCTTCGACAGAAACCTACACCGGGAATCCTCCCCGTTGACGGTTCTGAAGTCATTGCACGGTACGACGATTGGATACTTGGCATCTTGCCGGCGGAGGTCTCGTGGAATGCTTGGATATCGCCTGATCTGAGTGAATGTCTGTCGCAGCTAGCTCTACTAGCCCGGCGGAGGATTTTCAGTGCTGAGGGCTGAGGTACGTAGGGCTGGAGTATCCTCTTTGCGTACATAGCAAACGCAGACTAGGGCCCTAAATACGCTATTCCTGTGTGCTGCCCTGTCTCTGGGACAAAGCCTGAGCGTTGGTCCTGTATCCGCGTTTGAAGCTCCTTAGATACGACGTCCGAAACGCTACGCAGCGCTAGGACGGAGTGAGGAGACATCATGGCGGAAGGGGTGCTAAAAGGCAAAGGAAAGTCCGGCGGCCTTGGTAGCGCGCATAGCCATTCCTCCTCTGCCCGACCTGGAGGTGCAGGTGAGCAACTGGCAGAGGTCAGCCAGCGGGGTACGTTTGACAAGGATATGCAGTCATTGCAGGAGCTGGATTTGGAGAAACAACGTGCCGAGAGCAAGCTGCGAGATTCAATGGTGGCTTATATTGGACTAAGCCAGGAGCTGAGCAGCAGAGTAAAGTCCATGGAAGCCAGCGAGAAGCAGCGGAGGGAAGTAGAAGATGGTTTCGCCCAAGCCAAGCCCTTAGTGTCGACAACGTTAGAGGAAAGACGACAGGTGAGTCCACATAGCGAGCTGCAAGTGTAAGGTCATGATGAGTTAAATTAATGGTCCCTCGCTTTTTCTTTTTTTTTTGTTGTTGCTTTTTTTGCTTTTTTTTACTATTAGCTTTGCTGGGTATATGTGCTGACACAAAAATCTCTACATGATTTGCTTGGTGGCAGGGCCTAGGGGGCATGCATGTAGTACATGTACATGACTGATTGTATGTACAAGATCATGAGCGCAGCGGAGGCGGTGTAGGCGACATGAGAGTGCCATCACCGCACATCACTGGCCGCTCACTGCCTGATCCCTTGGTCACAAACAATGCCCACGCACACAAACCCATGGCCATACGCAATACACGTGCTGAACCCTGGCTTTGCCAGACATACTGCGCCGCTATGTGACGTCGCACACCTTTGGCTCGCATGACTCTGTGAAGTGAAATGCCGTACCGCACTGCAGACGTGTGGTCGACCCGGTTGGAAATGTACGCAACAGTTCACACCCTCTTGTCTTGATCGGGGATCGCGCTAACCCTGGATTTTGATGGGTCTGTACAACTCCCTGCTCTTGACCTTTGGTCGGTGTACGAGATGCACGCACAGTTTTTTGTAGGGTGAGTACTTTTTCATGTAGTATCGAATGCGGCAAGTAGGACTCACCCATCCGCCCCTCCCCACCTGGACCTACTCGAAGGGTGGCGGAGGTAGGGGCGCTGCGGCGGGATTTTACGGTACAAGAGCTGGTGCCGTATAGCAATTTGCAGGGTCCTAAAAATATCACAGTGTTTATAGCCGATGGTTTCGTATCTGGGGTGCTCTATTTTAAAGATTCACTGCACATCTAAGCCCAAGAGTGTGCAGCTCGAGTCTGCTGCCGTCACAGCGAAATACACTGTACATGTACCTGGATCACATCATTTTTAGTGAATAGGTGCGTATGAGCAAGATTCAAGCAGATCTCCTGCTGCACAACTGGAGCCTCGGCCTAGTTGTACTACACTATACAACTTCCCACCGCGTGTCTGTATCAACTATGATTTGATCCAGGAATTCCGTAGTGACAGACACTTCTACAGAAAAATCCTGAAGCCACGCACTTTTGGTTTCATGTACTCTTGCTGGGCCTCATGTAGCTTTGCACTGGGGAATGTTTTTCCGGTCATATTTGAAAATAAGAATGTCATGCACTGCATTGTCTTGCAAGTTTTTCGTTTACAATTCCTGTTGTACATGTATCATGAGAAGTTGTTTGGGGTTTCTTGAACTTTCTTTAAATTAACCATGCGTGGCCGATCAGTGATTGAAAGAGAGAGTTTTCTGTCGCGTGCTCGTTTGATGTTGGTTAGAAATAATTGGCTTGGTCATTGACCAAATTATTCAAACTGCTACAATTGAATCCTCGAATGCAGTCTGCAGGCTCTGGCTTCCGGGTCATCATCAATGACAGCGGCTGCCTCAGCGGACAGTACAGACACATTAAAAAATCCCCCACTGCCACAGTGAACTTTTCAAATTTTGTCCAAAAGTGAGAGGGAGACTAAAGGACGCTAGAGGGGGGTATTCTCCAGAGATACACCGAAAATTTTAAACCAGTTGTAACCCCCCCCCCCCCCCACGCCACCTTAAAACCAGCGTCCTGCATGAAATATTGTCTCTTGGTTTGATGTTCTCTCCCATGTCCAGGCGGCAGAAATAAGTCACTTGAAACTTACGGCAAAGCTGGCTAATGACAAAGCATGTCGCTTGCAGGTGGAGATTAGTGCACTTAAGGACGAGCTGAAAGCCCTGGAGAACATGTCCTCGCCTCCGACCACGGACACGGAGCGAGATGTTGATCAGGTATACTGTGTAGTGTAACCATCCCCCGTGTTTGTGCTAGCATTCCCTGTTTGTGCTAGCATTCCCTGTTTGTGCTAGCATTCCCTGCTTGTGCTAGCATTCCCTGTTTGTGCTAGCATTCCCTGCTTGTGCTAGCATTCCCTGTTTGTGCTAGCATTCCCTGTTTGTGCTAGCATTCCCTGCTTGTGCTAGCATTCCCTGTTTGTGCTAGTATTCCCTGCTTGTGCTAGCATTCCCTGCTTGTGCTAGCATTCCCTGCTTGTGCTAGCATTCCCTGCTTGTGCTAGCATTCCCTGCTTGTGCTAGCATTCCCTGCTTGTGCTAGCATTCCCTGCTTGTGCTAGCATTCCCTGCCTGTGCTAGCATTCCCTGCTTGTGCTAGCATTCCCTGCCTGTGCTAGCATTCCCTGCTTGTGCTAGCATTCCCTGCTTGTGCTAGCATTCCCTGCTTGTGCTAGCATTCCCTGTTTGTGCTAGCATTCCCTGCTTGTGCTAGCATTCCCTGCTTGTGCTAGCATTCCCTGCTTGTGCTAGCATTCCCTGCTTGTGCTAGCATTCCCTGCCTGTGCTAGCATTCCCTGCCTGTGCTAGCATTCCCTGCCTGTGCTAGCATTCCCTGTTTGTGCTAGCATTCCCTGTTTGTGCTAGCATTCCCTGCTTGTGCTAGCATTCCCTGTTTGTGCTAGCATTCCCTGCTTGTGCTAGCATTCCCTGTTTGTGCTAGCATTCCCTGCTTGTGCTAGCATTCCCTGTTTGTGCTAGTATTCCCTGCTTGTGCTAGCATTCCCTGCTTGTGCTAGCATTCCCTGCTTGTGCTAGCATTCCCTGCTTGTGCTAGCATTCCCTGCTTGTGCTAGCATTCCCTGCTTGTGCTAGCATTCCCTGCCTGTGCTAGCATTCCCTGCTTGTGCTAGCATTCCCTGCCTGTGCTAGCATTCCCTGCCTGTGCTAGCATTCCCTGCCTGTGCTAGCATTCCCTGCCTGTGCTAGCATTCCCTGCTTGTGCTAGCATTCCCTGCTTGTGCTAGCATTCCCTGCTTGTGCTAGCATTCCCTGCTTGTGCTAGCATTCCCTGCTTGTGCTAGCATTCCCTGCTTGTGCTAGCATTCCGTGTGCTAGCATTCCGTGCTTGTTATGTTGACAACCAGTGGTGCTTTGTACTAGCATTCCGTGCTTGTTATGTTGACAACCAGTGGTGCTTGTGCTAGCATTCCGTGCTTGATATGTTGACAACCAGTGGTGCTTGTGCTAGCATTCCGTGCTTGTTATGTTGACATGCCTGTCCAAGCAAGTTGAATCCAGCCGGTGTTTCGAAATGACCGACAATGGGCCTCTCACGCAACATGCCCGATTGACCTGCACACTTTACACACTCCCTTCCTTCTTCTTGCAGAAAGTGTCTGCTCCGAACGTCGGAGCTCGCGTTTCCTGCCGACTGACTTGACTGACTCACGGCTGTGTCTGGAGCACACGAGACGCCGGTCGAACCAGACGCAGTCGTGAGTCAGTCAAGTGTCAAGTCAGTGGGCAGGAAGCGCAAGCTCCGACATTCGGAGCAGACACTTTCTTCACTAATCATCGCCGATGTCACAACATCTTTCGTCTTCCTCATTCTGTCCAAGTTAGTCCTTGGTATTCGCAGTTCCTGTGCATACAGGTCATACTTTCATCTAGTCATTGTCCTTCACATGTTCGTTGGGCACATTCTTCTATATGGTGCTAACCATAAACTTTGCTTTTTGTTGTGTGCGCCGTGGTAGGATGAATTGAAGCGTCTCCGGCGCCAAGTCAAGACCAAGGAGACTCTCTGCACTACGGTCATCAATGAGCTAGAAGCTGTGCGTAAGGAGCTGGCCGAGGCCACTAACAAACGAGATCAGTTCAGCATGGAACTAGAGGCCGTAATGAAGGGAGCAGAGGCACAGGCTGAGTCTGCAAAGGCAATCCACAATAGCCTTCAGGCAAGACTTCAGCAGAATGAGGAAGAGAAGCGAAAGCTCCTGTCTGAGGTAACGAGTTGTTCTTTTGCCAGCCAAGCCGTGATTTCCTGTGTATAAATTTCAAGTGCACCTTATGGCTTGTTTCGAGTGTTAAATTCATGCACCGTATTTCTGCGGACAGAAGATCCGGTAGCAGTCTTACCCAGACAGTAGTGAGGTTTAGTTCCCACGTAACGGAAATGCGTACGTGGGTGATCCACGTAAAGCTGATGAAGGGCACCCACGTTGCAATATTGTGTTTAGTCACACGGAACAAACAAAAGCATGAACCGAAAGGCCCAAACCTGGTCAAAGACGAAGCTACCCGGGCCTAAGAAGCTCCTCCAATATTTTGATTTCGTGCGTCGGAAACTTCTTCAGCTGAGCACCCTCACAGCTCGCACAATGCGCTCCATTCTGATTTTCACCCACGTTCTGGCGGAACGTGGGTGAGCCTCCATACACGGTATGTCGTGAATCAGAAAACGTCTGTACGTGAGTCACTGAGTATCACGTGGTACACACACGTAAAGTACCCACGGATTACGTGCGACTAAACCTCCATATTGTGAGAGGTCACTGGATTATAGTTGGGCATGATCCACTTCCACTATTTGAGGGCGTGCTTTTAGCGTTCTAGGACAGGTTGCAAGATTTTGCAGAACCTCCAGGGGTCTCATTGTATATGAGCATGCTGGTGTTTGAATAGGGTAACGTATGGCCTGCTATAGGAGAAGATACAGTAGTGTGGACACGTGATTGTGCATCAGTGTCACTTTGTTCCCGCCGTGAGTCCTTGACACATCAGACAGTGATTTCTAGACAAGTCATCTGCTTTCCTGTATCCTACAGTCTGTGCCAGTCCGTGGGATGGGAAGGAGATGTCTGCAGACCCTATTCATTTGCCAGGCTATGCGTACACCACTTACACGCCACAGCATTTAGTACAGCAATGTGTATTGGGGTGAATACGTTTAGGCTAGAACCACAGCAGATAACACAGAAAATACTGAGCCATGCTGGAAAACATCACATGACAAGTTCACAGTACATGTACTGCCCGAGGCCACATCTGTTGAGGCAGGGTGGCACTAAAATACTCTTCAGAGCACTACTCTCTAAGCTGCACGTGCGGTGTAGTCGTATTCAGGTTAACGGTTAGGACAGGTGCTGCACTGGGGTGCTGTATTATTATACATGCTGGCGCTCAGTGTCAATGGGATCCTCTGAATCTCTACTATTACAGTGGAGATTGGATATAATGACAAATCGAGTTTAGCGACAAATTTCTGTTGCCCAAGTCGTTTAGCAAGTCCTTTCTGTACATTATAGATCGGGTATAATGACCTCGAAAATATCGACAGATCGAATTTACTGACATTTTTGGTGCCTGAAGACCTGAAAATGCATCGAATAGAACGACTTTCCTCTTGTATCAGGCGGAGTGGCATGCATGGGACATGTCTGTGTCACATGCCCGGACCTCTGGCCCGGACCTCTGGCAGTCTGGGTCACCCCACGAGCGCTGGTCATTGCACATTGTAGTCGCAGTGCAGCTGTGTACTTGCTATGCATGCCTTTTGGCTTGAACTATGCATGCAAGACACATGCACATGCACATCTGAAATCCATATCGTGGCTATATAGTATGCACATGCATTATCTGCAATACATTTCTGTCATTTTGATATACATATTGCATACTAAATGTGAAGATCGGGTTTAGTGACAGATCGAATATAGCGACATTTCTCTTAGACAAACACTAGCGCTTGTTTGCTGCATGCTTAGTTAGGGTTACTTTACTTTACCGGACACAGGAAATACAGTTCCTTTGTCTGACGATGAGATCACTCCGTATACAGACTGCTAAAAGTGATATATGTAGTGTTAATAGGGTGAGTTCCTTTGGCAGCTCAGTTTCATTCCCCGGTCAGGGTGTGGAGTGTCTGACTCTTCGGCACAAATGGCCAACAGCTGCTTTTTCTTGCCGGTGAGAATCCAGCTCGCCTTATTTTCCACCCGACCTACGTGTTCCTGTGTGTTCTTCTGTGTTCCTGTGTAGGTCCTGGGTGCATCAGGTGCACAGCTGGTCACAGATGGGAAATCGCTGACTCGGAAGGAGGTTCGTATATGTACCTGTTTTTGGGCACACGTGTAGAGTGTTGTTGTTAGGTTGACAGCATGTTACAATAATACAAGGCGGAGGACACACTGTGTTGAAAACAGTGCTGCTTACTACAAGCATCATGGGTTGGCAGAGCCCCGGTCTTGCGACCATTTGAACCGTATAGAGGTTAGCCCCGGTTCTGACCCTTATTATACTAGGGAATTGTTTAATTAAGCCCTCTTGTTTCTATTTCGTACTGCCAGTTGTGTATTCCTTGCTCGTTCTTGGATGACAGTCCTGCGCAAATCCTCCTGATCCTTAGTCCTTTGTTTTAACCTTTCAGCCCAATACCATGTCGAGTGTTATGTCTTGACTCCTAATGATGCACTACACATGTACCTGTACATATAGCTGATAATGTTGTCCATAGTAAAAGCATGCGTGCAAATCAATTTCAGATTTATCTGGACACCCCATTCCGGGCTATTTTGTACCACCTATCTGTACAATGGACCCCTCTTAACGTGAACATGCATAACATATACTTGTAATTTGCCGGGACAACGCGGAAAAGTCCGGACTGAAATACTCTTCCAGTACGCCACAGCTTAGTGGTTACTGGCTTATAGCGAAGGTCCCTGGTTCGGGTTCCGGTGGTGACAGATACGTTTTTCGTCAGACCCTTTCTCTTTTCAATCCTGAACTGTACATAATTATCCTATTTTATGATATCAAATAGGACTCCGCCTGGACACTTTCTGCAGCTTCCTAACTATTATCATAACTTCCTCTCCCGTCAGTGTACTACAAGCAGCATATTGGCCACCATCCTTTTCACTGACAGGCGGACCGGAAATATGCTTGATCTAGCTGTTTTCGGCTTGTCCGGCAGTGGCTTGTTTGACTTTGCAGTGTAATTCACCCTTTCACCCTTCTTGCTTTCACCGACTTTGTTCACTGTGATGAGGTGTTGGATAGCTGGCTCCGTGTAAGACATTTCAAGTACGTTTAAATTGTTCTTCGCCCCTTATCGAAATTCCTCCCTCTAATTTGGAGAATGGACTTCATTCTATGTGATACTGTTGTTGCTATCTCTCTTCCAGCTGTTGACAATCAACCGGCAATGGGAGGGTGCATACAACTCTCTCAAGCAGGAGTATCACAAGCTGAAAGTGCGCACTGCAGACAGCGAGGGAAACCCAAAATCTCGACGCAAAAAGCGTACACACAGCAAGAAGCTTACGTCAAAGCACGACCCTCCAGCCGACGACACGGCAAACCCGTTGGGCAAGGAGCCGTCAGAAACTGTACCAGTAGTGCCGCCACCATCGGTTTACGCTATCAACAGTGGGCCAGTAGTGCAAGACCCGGCTGTAAGGTCTTCAGCAGTAGGTGTGAATGCTACAACACCTGCGGTCAGCAGTGGGGTAACACAGTTCTCTGTCATGCTGTCACATCATCTACCGCCGGCCGCAAGTAGCACAGCAGTAGCCATGAGCAGGGCAGCTGCTGTTCCACCATCTCTGTATGCTGCTGCTCCTCTGCCCACTGACCTTCTACTAGCAGAAACTACTGAGGTAACAGGTTCCAGCAGCAAGAGCTCAGGCGCTGCAGACAATACCAGTAATGTTGCCAGCGGCAATGCGCCGCCGGGGTCCAGTGGACCAAGGCCGACTGATGGCCAGACTGTCAGCTTGCTTCACAGAGAACTGGAGGACACCAAGGTTCAGGCCAGTGAACTGCGCCTGCACATCGCCAGGCTGCAAGAAGCTGTAAGTCTTCCAGTCTGAATGTAACCTACTTCAAGTACTTTGAACTTTTGTTGGAAGTACATGCATGTCCACGGCATCGTCTCGGCACATTGGCCTACTCACGGTACCACACGATAATATTATGCTGCACGACTCATTCTATATGCGTGCCTGGTGTTTAGTGCAATACATACAGCCCTGATTGCGGGTAGCCAAGGCCTGAAGAACCATACGTGTCTACTGGCGCACTTCTTTCCACTATAGCTCTTTGAGATTAGTGATTGCATGTGTCTGATGGTTCTTCTGACTCTTTGCTATAGCTCATAGAGATTAGTGATTGCATGTGTCTGATGGTTCTTCTGACTATTTTGTTAAAGCTCTTTGAGAAGCGCACACAGTTAGCCGAGGAGAAGGAGCATCATGAATTGACAATGGCAGAGAAAGAAAGCCTACTAATGGCGCTGGCTGCATCCTCTGAGAAGCCGCAAGTGGATGAACCACGACAACTTGATGAAACACAGCGGCTGACGCGAGAGCTGCAGACCTCTGTGAAGGCCGAGCAACGTCTTCGTCGGGAACTGGACGCCATGAAGGCAACGAATCGCCAAGACAACGTCCGGGTGAGTGTTGATTGATTATTGTTACGAGTATGTGTGCAAGATCGCTTCAAGATGTCTACTGTTGGGCAGATTGCCTGCTGATTGTTTGTCAGAAAGCGGTTGCTGTGTGGAGAATGTGTTCTACTGGTCGGCACTCTTTTCACATTGATTCAGTGGCCAATATCAAATTCTGTTTAAGAGCCATTCTGATCCCTATACTTGTTGACAAGTAGAAAGCACATGTATTGCTGGCCATCTGTGAGTATACACTACACGGGTATGGCATAATGGGAGCTAGAATCAGTAATAATCCATTAGCAGATCAATCTATTCAAGGTGGCATCCAGTGACTTGTATGTAGGAGATTCACAAGCTGATGTCTTTTTCCGAAATTGTTATTGATGGAACTCTTTGATCCATGACCGCCATCAAGAATGCCGAAGAGAGGAGCAGCTATCTTGAATAATGTTTTAGTCAGTGATATGATGATGAGGCAGGCAGGCATAGTGGGATGGTCTAAAAAAATCACGGTTCGCGTGAGACTCAGCTGGAAGCCTTGTTTTCCGCATCCGTTGGAACGCCACCACCCTTCAAGGATCACACCACCCTTCAAAGATCAAGGCGCAGATGCAGCTCCTAAAGCGGTGGGAGGTGAGTAGATCAGCTCACCAGCAAGTGGTCAAAGACCGAAAATCCCATTCAATGCATCCATGGTCTAAGACCATGGGATAATTAGGAACTCTTGGCCTGGCACGAGGGAAGCATGGATGCAGCGAATGGGATTTCCGGTCTTTGACCACTTTAGTGGTGGGTCTGATCTACGCACCTCCCACCGCTTTAGGAGCTGCATCTGCGCCTTGATCTTTGAGGGTGGCGGCGTCCCAGTGGATGCGGAAAATTCGGTCTCGAGGCGAGTCTCACGCGAACCGCGGATCTTTCTTTCTTTCAGTGATAGTTTTGTTTATTAGAATATGAATTGAGTGTTTGTGTGCGCACCAAATGATACATTTTTCACAATAGCTTGCTGATGTCCACAAGGAGTTGCTTCGCCTGACCAATGAAAAGCGCAAGCTCGAGGCAGACCTGTCGGAAGCCACCAGTCGCCTTTCCGCCATTGAAACTCAGCTGGTGCAGCGCAGGACATAAGGCAGGAGCTGCTTGTATCCTCCAGCGAATATTGATTACGCAACATATCAAACTGACTCTATTCTGCACCATCTCAAGTCCCAAGGAATGAGTTAACTCTTCTATAAACATGTATGTCCTCTGCCTTGCAACGTACAGTACTACTAGTAATGCTCTGTTATTCATTGCAAATGGCTTGAACGATTTGAACAATTTTCTTTATTTCTCAGAACTCATGCAAAGTGACTTATATTATATACGTATTGCTGGCTGGGCATGCAAAGTGACTAACCCTGTTACTGTGAAAGCCAAAATATGTTCTTTTTTCTTCTTTTATACAATGTACGAGTCTCGTAGACTGTGTGTGTGTGTGTGTGCTTGAGTGTGGCAGTAGTGTACATGTAGATATCTTCTCCGCTTGCCCGATCAATCCACAGCAACACACTCTGCAATGTCCGATCAATCCACAGCAACACACTCTGCAATGGTGCTAGTGGATTGCGTAATCACACTTCTCTGCCGCGGGGCATTTTACCAATACTTTCCAAGAACATTATAGTGTAGCCGGTTGCTCTGCAGTTGGATAGCTAACGAATGTGTGTGCGGGGAGAATACAACATTCCCGGGATCGAAGCTGCAAAAAATAGGCGCCACATCTGCTGCAAAAACTAGGCCCACATCTGCTGCAAAAACTAGGCCCACATCTGCTGCTGCGTGCAGCTACACTGTTTTACATAAGCTCCCTACCAGGATAATATCACTGGTCCTTACCAGGATATTTGTATTTGTATTTATGGATTCTCCACAGGCCTTAGCCTAAATCGAGGGAGTCTCCATATCTCTGGGCTTCTAGAAGCTATCCGCAACCTGACCACTAAGTATCCTGTAAAATGTTCATGCATGCACTCATCCAAACCGCCGTCTTGATACGTATTACTTACATTCAGAAACTCTGGTTCAGGTTAGACATGCAGTGCTACTCAATGGAATCCGATCAAGCGAGTGAATGCCACGCCGTGGGCTGTGCAGCCCTAGACCTGCGAACACTGGGATGTGAACTGGTGCAGGGCAAACTACGCAACACTTGGCGCGCATGTTTGGATTTCATTGAGCAGCACTGTATTTGTCAACAGGCAACTAGGAGAAGAGAGAGAGAGAGAGAGAGAGAGAGAGAGAGAGAGAGAGAGAGAGAGAGAGCGAGAGAGCGAGAGCGAGAGAGCGAGAGCGAGAGAGCGAGAGAGAGAGAGCGAGAGAGAGAGAGAGAGAGAGAGAGAGAGAGAGAGAGAGAGAGAGAGAGAGAGAGAAAGAGAGAAAGTGCAAGTACATGTATATGTTCACGTAACTACAGTGTTGATCTATCTGCACAAACGGTGTGCTTTTACCTATAGTTCAGCAGACGTGTTATTTTGTACTTGTACTTCAGTAAGCAAGGTTGCATCCAGTTATTGTCATGGTAACCGATGACACTCCTATAGCTAGCCCAATTTACAAGGAGTACTGGGAGTATCATGTGATGTGCCATGCTGTCATCTTGTCCTTACCGGTTATGAATGTCCGTGCCAGTCCCCAGCCATCAAGGTAACTTAGTAAGTACAAAAAAACATCACCCATGGCCAAGAGGGATGAGGTACAATCTGCTGCATTTCACAATACACAATGTACAAGTGTTCGCAGTGTGTTTGTAGGTCAACCGTTTTGGTTCGTAGCATTACATTAGAATAGGGAGAGCTGAATAAAATCGTTCAACGAAAAATAAATACTGGCCACTGCTTACATGTATGGACAATGATACGAACCTGAGACTCAACTTGTAAGTTTAACCATTGGTGGTCATGTGATTGGTGGTCATGTGATTGGTAGTCATGTGCTGGTGAAATAACTCTGAGATACACAGAACTGGTCATGTGCTGGTGGAATAACTCTGAGATACACAGAACTACGGTAGCTACCATCCAGAACTAGTACATGCAACCATGAGCACGCACTGGCATAGCTTGCTATCCAGGATCGACTTGTAATTCACGACTTGCTATCCAGGACTTGTTATCCACGACTTTTGCTATCGACAGCTTGGCTTGCTATTGACGACTTGCTATCCACAACTCGCTATCCACGGCTTGCAATCCTTGCTACCAGACACACGACTCTAATGGGAGGTTGGCATCAACAAGTTCGGATTGGGATGGTTCCTTTCTCGACTGGTGTTGGGGACTACCTTTGACTAAACCTGGAGAATATGTTGGACAAGTTGGATGATGGTTGTGATGCAGGTGGTGAGTCACGCCTGCGTCGTCGTGTTGCAGGTAACTGACTGGGTCTGGTCAGTCTTATCGGTGGCAGGAAGGGAGCTGGTGTAGACCTTTGTGAAGTATCCGCTGCCGGTCTGTGCTGAGGACGTGGCTCGCGACGACGCGAAGCGTCAGGGTCCAGGCCGGGATACCGGGCTGTGAGTTCGTCCCATGTAACAGGCCGGGATCGCTATTGGTTTTGTTTACCCACACGCATACCACCAGCAACAACAACGATGGCGACGATGACGACAGTAGTAGCAGCAGCAGCAGCAGCAACAACAACAACAACAACAACAACAACAACAACAACAACAACAACAACAACAACAACAACAACAACAACAACAACAACGTGAGAATAAAAGATTTCAAACAACAATATTCAAGACTCAGAATCAAGAGAGAGAGAGAGAGAGCTCGAATTTCCATTGGCTCTAAGAGATAGGCTGAGCAGCACTATTTGACAGAGGGCTCTAATCGAACGAGTACGGTAATATGTCAAGTAGACATCATCCTCCCTAAAGCTGTCCAAATCAAAGTGCAAACATGCATAAGTTTGCAATGCGGATATTGGGTATCATTGCCCGGCTGCTGCACACTGCATGTCATACATCATCAAGCTCCACCACCTCCACCAGCTGTACTTACTACAAATGACCGCAGGTCTAGGTTGTCACGGTGGGCCTCAGCATCATCAATGACATCCTGTTGTCTTCTCTTTAGCGCTTCAATCTTCATCTTAGCCAGCTCCACCTGATGCTAAGGACAGAGTACAGAACAGCACATGTGTACCATAGCCCTCGGAGAGCACGGTGCGCATTTGGGACTGGAGGCACGATGTCAAACTCTTGTGGGAGCATGTTTTTGCTTAGCAACTAGTGTTAGATGCCTGATACCAGTTGCCACGGCAATCAGGCTTTGTGTGCATTTGTAGACTCTCTTCACACAGTCATGTGTCATGATGCCAGTTATAGTCTCTCCCTCCCTCCTCCCTCGCTCCCTCCCTCCTCCCTCGCTCCCTCCCTCCTCCCTCCCTCCCTCCCTCCCTCCCCCTCAGTACATATACGTGTTATTGAGAGTTTCGAGAATTCAACACACAGGAATCGGCAGCCACTAATATCAGCCATCTCAAAATACCGTTAGAAGACACACAAGCGGCAATGGCTGAATATAACTCTTGGCCCATGACTCGGCTCTCACCTTTAGTTCATGCTCTCGTTGTGTATGGTCCCGCACCGTGCGACCCAGCTGAGAAATAACACATATCGGTCAGTCCCAGCATCAGAGCCACAGAGGAGACACATGTATGAGTAGAATTGAATTCCACTGGCACATTATATTACTCAGGAGAGAACTTGGCAGCAAATTACTACCAGAAATACTGATAGAATAAACATGGACTGTATCATGGGAACTCTAGATAAGATGGCTGGTATTTCATTATGCAAATGAGTCATTCATGACCGTACCGTGTGCGACGCCCCTGCACACACGTACACACACACGCACACACACACACACCAATGACTACTCTAGCAGGAGACCATCACGGATGCCGGTTCTTCTTAGCAGCATCAGGAAGTACTCCTCGGTGGCATCAGTAAGGGGGAGTGCTGTGGTCCCGTGTGAGATCACAATGACCAGGCTATCACATGCTAGTACTCACGGCCACCGCAGCGCATGTGTGTGTGGATCACTAAGCTTGGAAACTAAAACCAGACCCAGCTCCCAATCAGCTTACCTCCTCAGATGTTTCTCTGAGCTTGTCTTCCAGGCGCCGTATCCTGGCCTTGTAGACTTCCCGTTCACTGTCTCGTAAATGCGAAGGCCTGGGAAACGCTGCTTGTTGCCGAAGCTCATCCTCTAGGCGTCGTTCCTAAAGTTTGAAGTGCATGCACACAGATCATGCACTCATACATGCATGCCATGCATATCGTCAGATGATATGCATGTCATGCATATCGTCAGATGATATGCATGGATGCATGTCATCAGATGATATGCATGTCATGCATGTCATCAGATGATATGCAGGTCATGCACATCAAAAACATTTGACAGCCTATGATGCAAGGCAACGAGAGGGAGTACTTCAACAGATAGTGCTCCGGTCTACAGTAGCGTTTTCTTTACGGTTGAATGCAAGGGTCCTATGCAAGCACATGAACCGCTTTGTGAGTCATATGTATCCCTCGTTGTGGAGGGAGCTATTTAGTATTTACGTTGGCAGCTCCTCCCCCCCCCCCCCCCCCTCAAGAGGCTGGTCTGAACCGGATATACATTTGCCTCCCAAAACAGTTCATATACTGTGACATTAACCAGCACCCTACCAACTGTAAGAATGAATGTACCAGTAAGTAGGGGTGTGATCTCCTTTCAACTCGCGTACTCACTGTCATGAATGTCACCACATCATGAAGACTACTTACGATGTCCAACGACGACTCTGATTACCCAGCTGATGGCACGCGTACATTGTGAATCCGAGTATTCCCAATGTCGCCTCCATCTCATCATATAATTATACTCTCCTGCATGTTTGTCTCTGCTGCTCATCACAAACTACTTAAATCTGAACTTGTTTTCTTCTTCTCTGAATGCACTCGTTGCTAGCTGCCGAGATTTGTTTTCTTGTAGTTGCATCATTGCATTCCGCTCCGCGCTTGCATGATGCACGCACGCACACACACATACGGGGGTGGTTGGCAAGTTTTTTGGATTGTGGTTGAAGGTGAAGTTTTTAGAAAGGAAACTGTGGTATGAGAATGAGTCTGATGAGTCTGTCTTCCCCTACCGTTCTCGACATGGTGCTGTGACCAGGATTTGGAACCAACGCGTCCAACAACTTTCGTTTTTTTACGATGGACGGAGAGGTTGAACAGACAACAACGAACGATGGAGAGGAGTCCTTGGATCAGACGACTGAGAAGCAAAGCACATCTCACGTCCTGGACCAAGTGGTTTACAACGACCTAGTCAAGAAGCGAGGCAGGGCCAAGGGAAGGGTGACGCGAGTAAGGAGGAGGATCGAACATGAACTCCGTAAAACGGAGGAGAAATTCGTTAGTCTGTTGTCACTTCAGAGTGATGTTGAGAAAATCCTACCCTTGATTGACACAGTGAACGACCTGTCCGAGCAGATTGGTACCCTGCTGGAGAACTGCGAGGCAGACGAGCGTGTGGAAGACGCACTAATTGATTTGGAAGCCTGGGATGATGGCTTTGACCACGAATGCACAAGTGTGTCGGACGCACGTGCACTACTCGACTATAGAGGGGTAGGGACACATTCACCAGTGGTGACGGAGCTTGCTGCAGAGGCAGCAACACCCCAGAAGGCCACCCGGCACGATACAACACAGGAGGTAGTGGTCGTGGACAGTGATGGGACGGACAGGCCCACGGGCGAACTGCTGGAATCAAAGGAATTGCCGGCAACAGGCACGGGCGACACGGAATCTGCTGCAGGCAGACTGGACAGCCCTAGCACGGGTGTGGAGGCAAGGCGTAGCACAATGTCCACAGGCACGGACATCAGTGCTACTACTCAGAACCCTGTGGCTCAGGCTCAGCATACGGATACAACACAGGCCCAGCCAACTGTCCCGACACCAACCAATTCCCCAGACATGATACAGGCCATGGCATTAGCGGCAGCCCATGCTGCAACCGCGGCAGCTGGCCTCAGTACTGCCCCACAGCCATCACGCCTCAACGTCCAGCTGCCAAAGCTGACTCTACCGTCCTTTTCTGGCAAGGTGATTGAGTGGCCAGAGTTTTGGGAGCGATTCCAGTCTTCCATCGACAACCAGCCCATTGCGGATGTCAGCAAGTTCTCATACCTGAAATCTTGCCTTTCCGGCGATGCGGCGAAGGCCATAGCGGGCATCTCATTGACAAGTGCAAACTATACCACCGTCAAGGATCTGTTGAAGACGAAGTATGGTTCAGCGGAGATCATCATTGCATCCCTGTACAGCCGTTTGGAAGCACTACCGGCACCACCCAACAGGCCCATGGAGATCCATCGAAGTTTCGAAACTGTGGAGTGTCTCCTTCGACAGCTGGAAACACAGGGAGAGAAGTTGGCAGATCAACGTCTCCTGTGCCAAAAGCTGTGGGGCAAGGTTCCACTCGAGGTTGCCACCAAGTTTGAGGAGTGGCGTGGTATCAGCAACGCCGGCCAGCCCTGGAAACTAACCACTCTACGAGAGTATATGGCCAAGTACACAACTCTACAAGAGCAAATCCGCCAGCGGACTGGCCAAGGCCCTCCGAACAAACCTGACGCTGTTGGAGTGCAGCCAAAGCAACTCTTTAGCACAGCGGATGCACTGGCAGCTCACCCTGATACCCAAGGACGACCACAACGTTCCCGTCGTGGTTGCATATTCTGCGATGGCCAACATATGGACAACAATTGCTCACGCTACACATCTTCTGCTGCCAGGAAACAACGATTAATGGAGCTACGTCGTTGCTTTATTTGCTTGGGTTCCGGTCACCGCAGCCAGGAATGTTACCGACGGCAAACACAGACCTGCCGGATGTGCAAGCGCCCAAGTCACCATCACCATACCATCTGCTTGCAGAGTCGCCAGCCATCTGGTGTAGGTTCGCATTCCACCCGACGAGCTGACGGTTCATCTTCCACGGCAGCGGTGGCAGCTTCTGACACTACAACCGCTACGTGCACACCCACTCAGGTTCCAGGTCAGGCAGTTGCTTCGGACCAGACAGTTGCTTCGGACCAGTCATCGTGTCTCCTGCAAGCAACAGGATCAACTGTCACACTCCAAACCGCCACAACGAATGTGCAAGGCAACAATGGTACAATCACCACCGCTCGCGTTCTTCTTGATTCAGGCAGCCATCGCACGTACTTCACGGAGGCTTTGGCAAGGCAGCTCTCCCTGCGCCATACTCGCCATGAATGGCTGTCCGTGTCAACCTTTGGTGCCACCAAACACCACACAGCACAGGTACCGATCTCCGACCTGTTCGTTCATCTCAAGGATGGTACAACGAAGGCCATCGAAGGCAGCGTCTTACCGCACATCACAAACCCGGTTCTCCGTCCTGCGGTTGCACACCCCGACATCACGACCTTGCAGCAACTGCAACACGACAACCAGTTAGCTGATGCGATTAACGCCGAAGATGAACGGCTAAAGATCGACATACTCATTGGGTCTGATTATCTGTGGGACTTCGTGCAGGGCCATGTGCAACCTCTACCATCAGGCCTCAACCTTCTGCCAACCTCCCTCGGCTACGTGGTCACCGGCAAGACGGACACCTCTCCCACCACTGCCCTACCGGCAACCACTCTGATCGCAGCCGCAGCCGACGTTTCACACGAGGAGGTTCTGCCTCTTAAGCAGTCCATTCCGGATTTGTGGAGCCTCGAAACGCTTGGGATAGAGCACCCGTCTCCCGTGAAAGACGATGACGTAGCCTTGCAACATTTCCACTCAACAGTGGAGTGCACCGATAATCGCTACATCGTTCGCTGGCCATGGAACGGCCAGCAGCAGTTTCTCCCGGACAACTACGGATTGACGTTGGGCCGGTTCCGGACTCTATCGCGGCGGCTAAGCACCGACTCGTCACTACTTGAGCAGTATGACAAGGTGATCCAGCAGCAAGCCGACATGGGCATCATTGAGCAGATGACACCGGATTCTGTCACTGGTCCGCAACTCCATTATCTACCCCACCAGCCAGTTCTAACTCCAACGAAGACGACGACCAAGTTGCGTGTCGTTTATGATGCCTCGGCCAAGGCACGGCGTCACAACAAGAGCTTGAACAACTGTCTGCTACGTGGACCCGTGTTGCTCCCCAACCTTGCCGGAGTTCTTATGCGACTCCGCATCACACCCATTCTGCTGGTAGCCGATATCGAGAAGGCATTCTTGCAACTTGACATCTGGCCGCCAGACCGGGACGTGACACGCTTCCTATGGTATCGCGATCCAACTAATCCCACAGCAACTCCGGACAACATCGCGGTCTATCGGTTTCGGAGAGTACCGTTCGGCATCGTGAGCAGTCCATTTCTGCTAGCGGCAACAATCCAACACCATCTAGCAAATGATGAAGATGCGGATGTCGGTCGCTTGGTGTCCCGCAATATCTACGTGGATAACGTATTCATCGGTGTAGACACCCCGGAAGAAGGGTACGATATGTGCAACCGAACTACATCCGTATTCTCTCGCTCGTCCATGCGGCTACGTGAGTGGGCATCTAACAACAGCCACGCTACGACAGCTATGGATGCCAAGGAAAGGGCACAGGGCGACAGTGTCAACGTTCTTGGAATCACGTGGCACACCAAGGATGACAGTCTACAGCTCGCTTGTCCTCGAACCCAACCCAGCACCGACCCGGTTTGGACTAAGCGCGCTGTCCTGAAGTATGCTGCATCATTGTACGATCCATTGGGACTGGTTGCTCCGGTCACATTTCGTATCAAGGTCTTCTTACGCTCTCTGTGGCAAGCTGGTATGGACTGGGACACTGTCTTGACTGGACACCTACTGGACACCTGGCTGACCCTCCATGCAGCCTCGAGCGAGGTCAGCTCGTTATCGTTCCCCAGGCAAATCAACCCAATTGCTAATGGAACCGATGCTACCTACCAGCTACACGTCTTCACCGATGCGTCACAACTGGGCTTTGCAACTGTGGTCTACCTCCGCACAACCATAGCCATGATGACAACCTGTGAGCTCCTCTTCGGCAAGACACGTCTTGCACCGCTGAAGTCCAAGGACGGCAAGCCTAACGGTCTCACCCTGCCACGGCTGGAACTACTTGGCGTGACGATTGGTTCACGGGCAGCCCGATTCTGCAAAGATGAACTCGATCTCCCACTTACCAGCATCACCCTATGGACGGACGCGCGTTGTGTTCTGCATTGGATCAAATCATCCAAGCCACTGTCCGTATTCGTGGCCAACCGTGTGTCAGAGATTCGTACTTGCGGCGAGTTCTTGTCCTTCCGCCATGTTCCTGGAGAGTGCAACCCTGCTGATGTCGCTAGCCGAGGCGGTTTGGTGGCCGATCTTCAGGAGTCATGGTGGCACGGTCCGGACTGGTTACGTACCACATCAGATCACTGGCCAGACGAGGACCTCACACTCTCAGCTGACGAATCCGACCTAGCCAGCAAGGAGGAGCAAGCACCAACGCTTCATACCGCAAGCCTGGTGACTGGTGGCAGCGATCGTGCTACTGACCAACCTAGTCCACACACCATTCCATCTGGTCTCGGCAGCGTGCTTACGAGAGCAAGCAGTTTGAGGAAGGTCCTGAGAATCACTGCTCTGTGCATGAAGTTCCTGAAGAAACTGCGTCCCAACTCACCACGTCTCTCTCAGATCAGCAACAGCTACGGCATCGTGTCACAAGACATACAGGCTGCGCGAGATTGGTGGACTCGAATGGTACAACGCGAGGCCTTCCCTGACATCTTCAAAGCTATCAAGACCAATGCCAAGCACAGTTCAGTTGCTAACCTTGGTGTTGTGATCGACGACAACGGCATACTGCGATGCGCCGGAAGACTGAGCAACGCTGAACTACCAACTAACCAGAAACTACCGAAGCTGCTACCAACGTATCACGCGTTCACGAAGCATGTCATCAGCGAAGTCCATGGACGGCTTCTGCATGCAGGTGTTCGACACACCCTGGCCCAGACAAGGCAAGAGTTCTGGATCATACGTGGCCGTGCTATCGTTCGCCGTATCCTGGATCAGTGCTCGGTTTGCCGAAGACACGAAGGGCGTCCGTTCAAGTTGCCGTCCATGCCCCCATGGCCCAAGGAACGGATTACCAGAGCACTTCCATTCACGTACGTTGGTCTTGACTACCTCGGACCGCTATTGATCCGCACCGGCACGGAGAAAGGCAAGGTATGGATCAACCTAGTAACCTGCCTAACCACACGAGCTGTACACCTGGACATAGTCTCTGGCCTATCTGCAGCAGCCTTCTTGAACAGCATGAGACGGTTCGCAGCGAGACGAGGCAAGCCAAAGTCTATTGTGTGTGACAACGCACCCCAGTTCAAGTTGGTACGCTCTGTCCTGGACGATCATCTGAAGCTGATTCTTGCCAACCCAGACCTGCTATCGTATCTCTCAACGGAGAATATCGAATGGAGCTTCACAACAGAGTTTGCGCCATGGAAGGGCGGTGTGTACGAGAGGCTGGTGAGCATTGTCAAGAGAGCCTTGAGGAAGAGTCTTGGAAGGTGCCTCCTGACTCTAGACCAGCTCGCAACCCTGACAGCCGAAGTGGAAGGCATGATCAATACGAGGCCGCTCACATATGTTGACGACGACGATGTGTCCTCATTCTCACCCCTGACACCGTCACATTTCCTCTGTGGAGGAAGAACGGCAACCGGTTTTCAGACGGACAGCGACGAGGAGGACGGTCCGGAGACACCAGCAGCCAAGGTCACGAGGATGTGGAAACGGCAACAGATACAACTGGATGTAGCATGGAAGGTGTGGGAAGATGAGTACCTCCCTGCTCTGCGCGAAGCATCAATGAGTCAACACCGACAGTCACGGAGTAGCATCTCTCGGACACCAACAGTCGGAGAAGTGGTCGTAATCCAAGAGACCGGCCAGCCACGTGGAAGTTGGAGACTCGGCAGAGTGGTAGAAATCTTACCTGGAGTCGATGGCCAAGTCAGAGCTGTCAAGCTGAAGACGGCTAAATCGAAGGCAGTGTTGTCGAGACCGATCAGCAAGCTCTATCCGCTCGAGCTGCACGTTGTGGATGACGTCGGAGCAGTGGAGGCTGGTGATATGGAACACCGCCCGGCACCGGCGACGGCTATGGAACAGGCAATGGCGGACGAAGCTGCTCCAACCATGTTCCAGCCTAGGCGGGCAAATCGCAAAGCAGCAGAGAAGGCCCGTGAGCGTATCGCAGAGTGGGTAAGATAACTTTCGTTGTCGGGAATGTCATGAATGTCACCACATCATGAAGACTACTTACGATGTCCAACGACGACTCTGATTACCCAGCTGATGGCACGCGTACATTGTGAATCCGAGTATTCCCAATGTCGCCTCCATCTCATCATATAATTATACTCTCCTGCATGTTTGTCTCTGCTGCTCATCACAAACTACTTAAATCTGAACTTGTTTTCTTCTTCTCTGAATGCACTCGTTGCTAGCTGCCGAGATTTGTTTTCTTGTAGTTGCATCATTGCATTCCGCTCCGCGCTTGCATGATGCACGCACGCACACACACATACGGGGGTGGTTGGCAAGTTTTTTGGATTGTGGTTGAAGGTGAAGTTTTTAGAAAGGAAACTGTGGTATGAGAATGAGTCTGATGAGTCTGTCTTCCCCTACCGTTCTCGACACTCACCGCCCTGATCTTCTCCGAATCAATTATCCTGCATCTACATGTACATGAAAGCATAACACACATAAGCAACATAACTTAGTGCAGTCATGTCAGGATCCTCCACATACCAAGCAAATTACAGTAATAAGTTTGATGTTGGGAACCCGAGACAGTGATATCGTGTCAGGCTATGGACACCTGGCCCACACAGAGGTATAAATGGAGGCATGCGTTTAATTGTTGGACCTACCGAGCTTTCTCCGAGCGCAGTTCAGCTTCCAGGCGCTTCACGTAGTGGTCGTTAGTGGGCGCTTGTTCCCGTATCCTGGGCATTGACCAAGACCGAGGCATACGCACCTGCGAAGCCCGACACACCATGCTTAGAACAGTGAGAAAATGGTATTATTGGCTGTAGCTTGCGTACACCGTGATGTTGTTTGTGTGTGTGTGTGTGTACAGGTGTGCGGCATTGGGCAACATGGGGCCACAGCTTATTAACCCGTGGTTGGCTATAACCATGCATCAATATTCACAAAAGGTCTACGAGATCACTTCAGGTAGACAGTAACTAAGACTGGATGAGTGAGTAGCTTGGACGAGTTCATCCAACTGTGTGCAAACAGGAAATGAGTGATGCAGCATCACTAAGCACATACAATAGACATCAAAGCAACCAACTGATCAGTTAAAACGGTCAGTATCATAGGTAGCGGTACAGGCAGTATGAGAGTGCCACCTGACAACAGACCAATGTGCCGGTACAGCCAGTATGAGAGTGCCACCTGACAACAGACCAATGTACCGGTACCTGTATGAGAGTGTCACCTGGCAACAGCCTGGCAATGCCTCAGACTAACTGTTCCATTACTGAAATCCTCCAGTGTATCGGTGCCTCACCTGACGCTCGGCAATCCTCGCGCGAAGACGGGCGTTCTCCCTGCTCATCTCATCAAACAAGTCAGCATATAGCTGATTGCCTGTGCATGTCAACATAGCAGCACCGGCGCATAGGATGTGATGGTCTAAGTCTCAATGGCAGTAGCTGAAGGATATTCCCAATAGGACCTTCAAATGCGAGAGAAGCCTGGACATTTACCAGGCATGCTCACATGTTCATGTGCCTTGAGCCCGGCTATCGGATTCCATAATCAAACACTGATCCAGGCTACTGGCTTCTGAAGCTGTTTGGGGTCTGCTCCAATTTCACAGCCCACCACCTCCAAACACGTGCTGGAATGTCCAGGGTTTGGGGTTTTCAAGCATTTTGCTGCTTTCACAGTGCTACTTGAAGCATGCCATTACATCATCTGGATTTACCTTGTATTTAGGGGGTTAGTACTCATGACGGCACATGAGTACCGGGTATATATACATGTACCTGTAGGTGACAGACACACTCACGGTAATTTCTCTCTCCGGTTCTGCGACTTGCTTCTTGGATCCTGCGCTCGTATGCACACAACTCCTACATCGAAGCAGTCAGCAAACAGCAAAGCACTAGACTAGCCAAGATAGAAGACTGATTGTGCACTAACACCTTATCTCAAATCAATGCCAGTCACTACCTAGAGTCGTTTGCAAAGACCCCTTGCAACAGAAAAAAACTGCACTTCTTCCGGAAAGTCTTTTCATGCTCAAAGTGGTTTGAGCTACCTTAAGAAATAGAACCAATCGCCACATGTCGCTGGCTTACCGCATCGAGGCTGTTGGCTCTCTTCTTCCACTCCAGGTTATTTTGCACTTCATTCTGTGGAGAAAGTAGCATAGATAGCAGCATAAATATTACAATTTAGCATTTAACCTGTTTTACTGATACACATAGAACATTGGAAGTTACACATACATGCATAATGTGTAAGACTGAGATCTGCAGCAGTGGAAAGAGTGCTCCAGACATCCAACTGTGCCGGGGCAGTGGCACATGCCACTAAACAGTGGGTTGCTGACAATCTTTTGCAAGTCTGACTTCCAAGCACTGGGTCACAGCATACCGGGCATTCAAGTCCAATGCTTAGCGGGGTCTATGGAGTGCAGAGCACGGGTCAACTTGGGAGTTGGGTGCCCGTGTTGCAGCAGAGGAAGCGTGTGAGATGCAAGTCTGTGGACTTGAAGACGCCGATGGTGTCCTGATGAGGTTCGCCGTTCGTAGTTCTTTGTAACGAAGTCAATCGTAACTTGAAGGCGTCAATGTCTTGGCAGTGTTGACACAACAATGGGCTCGTTCGACGAAGCTGACATCTGCCGACTTGTGGGTGCCTTCGTTCTTACTACTTCCTCCACTCGTGGCGAAGTAAACCAGAAACGAGCTTCTGCAGGCTGTGGCAACGTGCTGGCTTGAGTGCCCCGCTGCCAAGATGAGAAGCACTTGGTTGTGTCTGTATGGCTCCTTCCATGGCATTCTGGAGAGTGGCGGAGACAACAACTACCAGCGCCACCGTGAAGGTCGTCAAGCTCACAGTTCGAGCGAAGAACTTGGCGATCTCCACGATCAAATCATGTTTCGGCAACTTGTAAAGGCTGCGGAACAAAATCTGGCAGCGCTGGAGGCGAAAGTCAGCGAGGATGCAGACTCGATGTCATCAGGGAGTGAGCCGTCATCATATTCAGACGAAGAGTGAAGCTGGACTGCTTTGAAACGAGTTGTGGGACATCAGCAAATAACTATCTCTCAGATGCTGCTTCTATTGGCCTAGTTTTACAGAGATGACGGCCCTGCCACGCTGAAGACTGCATCCGGCAGTGCTGCAGACTGTGCATGGAATGACATTATCTGCATCTTCAAATCCTTCAGACTGAAGATCAGTATTGACTTACAACATCAAGACAACGAACTTCCTCGGCTATGTACAGTTAGACCTCCCAGCCATTACATACAAGCCATATGAAAGCTCGGCAACACACCTCTTTACCTCCGCATGGACTTCAACCAGCGTCCAATCTCTATGATCAATGCCTGCCAGCTGGAAATCATCACTGGCGACAGAAAGACCAAAGACGCTAGTAAACACAAGGTGTTATCTCATCCCCAAATGCCGGCACAGCACAAGTACCAGCTATTTTAGAACAAGCATTCAGGAGTCACTAACCAAAATATCACATATTGACTTGGCTGCTGGTACATGCATCCAGCACCCAAGGTGGGTCATGCACCCCCCCCCCCCCCCCCCCGGCTAAGCACTATCCCACTGTTTGGCCTTCCCATTGTTGGATTTGGCTCATGTTATCACAAATCAACTCCTCTCACGGGCCTTTTTCAAAGGATATCAAGAAATATAAGATAATAGTCCGGGACCAGACTGCCCCTTAATAAGGCAATATGGAGGTTCTACATTTTGAATTTCGGAATATTGTTTTGACTACTGCAGGGATGAATTTACTGTCATTTTTTTGCATAGCAGTTTTCGCGACGCAAACTCCAAAATGCGTAGCAGTCCTTGATTTTTGATTAGCACTTTTTCTTCCACGAAAAAGTCCCTCCAGGACCGACATCCCTACCGCCTTGCTATGCATATCCGACTTCGAATGTTTCACCACATTGTCCTTCTTCAGAGCAGTCCCCGAAATCCCGTCCACAAAAGACCGACTAAAATTTCTCAGTCCACGGAGGGAGGACTCGTGCTGTCTGCATAGCTGGCAGAAAATTAGCGTCGCCGCTGCACCTGTAGCTTTCTCAGAACGAAGCCATTTCCTCTCGACATCGACCTCTGCCACCGGGGACCCACTTCTCAAAGGTCAGTACTCTGTCGTACAGACATGTTGGAGGCAGAACCAGACTAGACAAAAACTACAGCTTGGACAATTGTCAGAGAGAAGGACGAACGCGATTCCAGAATTTCCTCACGACCAGAAAGACCGACTGGCTACAAGCAGAAAGCTATAATATCACGAAAAGAGGTAAGTAAACCAGAAAGAAGAGAAAAAAACAAGACTTCCAACGGGATCGTGGAGGAAAGATGATGGTTATCAGTACGGAATGTACCTGAACTTACTTTACTGAATGAAAGCCGCGCAAAGTGGTACGTGTAGTTCAAGTAGGACACCAGTACATGCAGTCAGTATGTGCACGCGGAGCCAGCCACAGTTCACAGGTACATGTACTCAGTACTAGAAATCACACCTTACTGAGAAAAAAGCGGGGTCTCTGCACTGTACAGGTGTAGTGAGTGTACGACATAGTCACAGCATCACTTTTACTGACTGCGCGAGCTAGTATGCAGTGCTGTTTATGCATCGCAGTTTCCTGCGAGTCGCTGTGATTTTTGAGTCGCACTCGATCGATTTTGAATCGCAAACTGCGATGCGATACCGGATAAATTCATCCCTGTACTGGGTCCAATAGGCGGCAGAGCGGTCAAACTTTCGGGAAAATTGAATGGAAGAAGCAGTCGCGTCGAAAGTTATGTTCGACTTCAGTCGAGAAATATTCCGAAATTCGAAATGCAGGACCGTCGTCTCTAATCTTACACCCTTCTGTGTTGTCTGTCAGCATCTCAGCTTCGGCTTGCTGGTCATCTGCATTGGTATTCCTCCTAGCACAGAACTTGCACTCCTGATATTGCCAAACCTTAACATGCTAGAACAACATGCCGGTGTTGTACAAGCACTGCTCTTCTTTCTCACACCTCGCATCAGCCACAACTAGTGCAGGGTTGGCTGCGGACAGCCTATTGCAATACAGATGCTTCTCTTTTATTTCAAATATTCAGCCAACGAGAAGCGTACACTAGTTTTGGTGCATTAGCAGGAACCTCTTTTAAGAACACCAGCTAGGCAGATACTTGAAGTACGAGGAAATTTTCCCATTCACGAGCTGTGGTTATACCCTAAGCGCAGCGCACCTAGAGCTGTGGTTATACCCTAAGCGCAACGCACCTAGACAAAAGAGGGTTTGTACTGCTTACTGGATAGCCAGTGATATTCATTTGACAAGCTGAGCGCTGCTACAGGCAACTTGACTAGATTGTAGAACACTTAGGGGCCGTCGCAGATGTTTTCGTAGTCCCTGAAACAAACAATCTGTCATGGTTTATTTCATATTCCTACCCCCCCCCCCCCCCATTAACCCAGCTTGCTATGCTGAGTGAAGCAAAATCGCATGTATGTACAGTGCTGGTTGGCCCACATCCCCTCCTCCCCCAAAGGATTGATGTCCGTTTCATGGATGGCAAAAAACCTTTGCGACCATCCCTTACTATCCTGTACATAGGTGCTACGTACAGAGTAAAGAAACCACTCAATCGTTCCGCAATAGAGTGGTTTCACATCCCTATCATGTGACTAAATTTGCATAGAAAGTGATCATGCCATCATTCACGGCATGTGGACAGTGGAACCAACATGGCCAATATCATGTGACCTACTATAGCAGGTTCAGGTGTTGATGGGGTTGGAATCAACATGGCTGCCTTGTATGGTCATGTGATAGATTTGCAAGAGCGTTATACCTGGAGTTGTTGCACCAGCGCCTGTTGATCTCGATGGGCAACTTTCAGTTTAACCAGCTCCACAACCTGATCTTGGTACTGGACAAAACGATAAAAAACGTATGATAAAAAACATGGCTGATAACACACCTATGTTTTGCTTGGACTAGATTTGAAGATGGAAGACAAGAAGGTACACTCCAATCTCTCTTATCCGGACCTCCAAGTTACGGGCACCTCGGTCTACCCGGAACCCCGTGGCGGAGTTTTAGTGGAAATATTACTACTCGTTTGCCAATCAGTTTGTGAAACTAGTGACATTATATGCCAGATCTCTGGCATTTCCCTATCAAACCATGCGTGATCAGCGTTATGTTCATTCATTATGCGCAAAACATTTTTTCTGATACATATATAGATACTGCACTGACTAGGTAAGCACAATTGATAGCTAGGAGAACACCGTAGGCCAGCACACCATCGTGAAGAAGACAGTGCCAACATGTATGGAGCGTGGCTTGTATTCACCTTTATTGCATCATTCTGGACCTGAATAACTTTCTTCTTCACATCGCGCAGCTGCTTGGACACAAAACCAAACTTTCTGCACGCCTCCACTGTTTAAAAGGTAAAAACACACAGAAGATGAAGAGATGTGAATCTCATTTCAATTTCTCTAAACGTATTTTCCACAGCATATGCCGCACTAGAGTCGAAGGACGCACCCAGATTTTTTTGTCGCGAAATACAGATATCTACCCTGTTTATCACGGTTAATTTGACTCCAGCGTAGTATAAGCCGCACCGCACCGACTTTCTTTGGGTGAACCACTGGTGTTTTAAGAGCGTGCCATTCATTTCTGCGGCTCGCTATCACCTTATGATCCTACGTGGACACGGAATGCCTAACATTTTGAAGTAATACAGCACAGCTATGAAGCGGAGACCTCAGGTCCACCGAGTACCGCACTAGGTCTCACCACCCTTTTGCTCCTCAAAGCTAACCAGATTGGACTTGCTGCCCATGGGCACTAGCAGAGAGAGAGAAAACAAGCATGCAGTAACAACAGTATGTGTCAGTGCTACCAGGCTGAGTACAGTGGAGCCTGCCTATCGGCACAGACAACCTAGTGACCAGACACAATTATTATTGGTCTTGCACAGCGAGGCAGAAGTATACCATGGTAGCCATGGTTACTCACAATGAGCAATGAGTAATGCATCCTTTGTCATTTCCCGGAACTCCGCCTCACGCGCCACCACTATAGGCGGACCACCTCCTCTTGCTTCACTGATATCTCTTTTCAGCCACTCGTTTTCTGTCTGAAAGAACAACAAAGACAGCAGAAACAGCAGCAGCAGCAGCAGTGGTTCCAGCACCACATGGCTGTGTAGCATCACATGGCTGTGTAGCACCAAGTGCAACTGTGTACCTTCACGGGCACCACACAGTGAGGCAGTGCATGCATGGTAACTTCACAAAGTAAATTCCCACACCGAGTGACAGAAGCCTGTGAAGAGGCCCGGCAGTACCTCAAGTTCTTGTCGTCCCTGCTTCAGCTGAACAATTTCTTGCGCCATTTCCTGCACTGCATTCTTGTGGTGTTCAACCAGCTGCAAAGCATTGTGAAGTAAGCAGAACACATACTGAGAAATAATTGAACTTACCGAAGTACTGTATTTTTCCCTAACCGCTATTGATCATATTGAACCGGTAGATAGAAACAAGAGGCCTCAAGCGTTGTTGGTCGACTTGTATCCGGTAAAAAAACGGTTCACATGTAGTGTTTTACACATTTTGCTGAAGATTGTACTACCAGTATGCTAAGACTGCCCGGATGCCTGAGTTCTATGCCCGGTGCAACCATCAGGCAGCATGTGTATTCTTACTGCTGCTTTATTGTTCCAAGTATCTGTTTACAATTTTTGAAGGACGCTTCACGCAGCTTCATTATACTTGAATTGTTTGCAGGCAACCTGCCTACACTCAAGAGAGCACTGCATTTCACACAAATCCATTGGTATCGTTACAACGTTTCGGTCTTTATGACCATCATCAGGAATGAAGTGGACATGGAAAGAACAGCAATATAAAAGAAGGAGGCAAGCAAGCAAAGCGCGGTACATAGTGACAGCGCGCGTAGAGAAGTGCAAAGCACGTCATGGTGGGTGTGCATTACTACATATACATGACAACACAAGCACAAACGGCGAGGAAAGTAGATACCGCGCTACAGCAGTGATAACAGCCCAGTTCCAGTCTCACACCACCAGTGAGGTGTGTAGAGCCCCGCGCCACTCGCAGTAAGGTGGTGTTATAGCAGATCCCAGCCACTGTTGTTGTTAATTTCCGGGGATCGCTCCCTGATGTTGATGGCCTCCCGGATCCTCCTCCTGGGGCGGTCACGCTCAGAACCGAGAACCCGGATACCAGAGAAAGCCGTTGCTCCCAATGGCAATGGGTCAGATGCATGCTTGGCCGCGAAATGCTCACCCAGCGCGGTGCCGCTCACTGTGTTGCGTGCGTCGTCGTTGTGTTCTTTTGTCCTGGTGGCGAGGCTGCGGTACGTCTCTCCGATATATTTATCACCACATTTGCACTCGAGGTGGTATACGACGTTTCGCTCTGTGCATGCCTCTGAACCGGACATGCAGGCGACACAAGCAGCTTTGGGCCGCCCCCGTTTACGGGGCTTGGACGGGTCTACATACCTGCGGCATGGTGGTTTGCTAAGACCAAAACGTTGTAACGATACCAATGGATTTGTGTGAAATGCAGTGCTTTCTTGAGTGTAGGCAGGTTGCCTGCAAACAATTCAAGTATCTGTTTAGTTTAGTTTAAACATCTCTTATTATTATTTTTCTCACCCCACACCCCTCTACTCTGTTATCGGCCCTCTTAAGAGTTGTGTTTATCACTGTTGAGGCTTCCGATGGAAAATAAAAGAATACTACTACTAAAGAATACTACTATTCTATTTGCTATGCCCCACCCCGTGTGTATGCACTATGCGACAAAACAGAATGACCCAATCGTTGTCCGCTTCAAATGCCCGGTTTTGAAATCAGATGAACAATGTGTGTTGCCTTCTCCCTGATGCACAACAAAGACACTATTGAAAGGCAATTTTACATGCTCCCTCTGTCCAAATAGTGAGGTAGCTGCTGAGCATGTAGTTGCTGCACTCAATGATAATGTTTGAATGTGTTTCAAAGTTTGTTTAGCACTGGCAATGGATAGTGAGATCAGCAAGTAGTCCTTCTGTCTAATAAGGTTTTAATTTTACCCTCTGGAGCTCCTCCTTATCCCGTGTTGCTGTGCCGCTGTGTCCCTGTACATGGCACAGTACAAAACACACGGAGCAGTGCACACCGTGATACTGATGACCTGTGTTAATACATTGGTAGGCAAGCCAAACAATAGGTAGTGTGGATCACGTGCGCCTCGTAAGCGGCCAATGGTTTGCATTGACACTGTGTGTGCGCGTGTGCGCACGTGTGTGTGTGTGTATGTGTGTGTGTGTGTGTGTGTGTATGTGTGGTGTGTGTGTATGTGTATGGTGTGTGTGTGTGTGTGTGTGTGTGTGTGTGTGTGTGTCCTGTTGGGTTTCGTGACGTCATCATTTCCAGCAGAAAACCCCAAGATGAGTGCATCATAAGTCACTATAGTTATAGGCAACGATGTTTGAGATAAAACATGTGTTGATAACAAACACAATACTGCGGGCAAATGCGAAAATCACACAAACCACAACACTCTTGTCTATGTGTTGACAAGATCAAGTGACAACGACTATGATGATATCTGCACCACTGCTAGCACAGAGCTCTACACAAGACTGCCTACCTGGTTGCGCACGAGCACTTCAGGTCGCTGCGTCGGTGGCAGCTTGTCGGTTGATGACGAGCGCGACCTGTCTCCTCGATTGTGACGATTGCGCCGCCTGCGTTGCGGGCGGCGGTTAGCACCGCAGCCAGCTCCCTTGCCACCAAAGTTGGGACATGTGCAGCAATGGCGGCCGTTGCCATCCGGGATATTCTCCTCACCGTAGTGCGGACATGCACAGCAATGCTTGAACGGATCCTCTGCTGCTGCTGCTTGTACTGCTGGTACAGGCGGTACGTGAATCTCTGGCAGGATCGACTGCACAGCAAACAAAGCGGCTAGATGATCACTTGCAGGATCTAGGAGCGTAGAATGAACTGCATCCTACAGGTGGTGATTCCTTATACACATCATGCCACAATGCAGTTTGCACTGCCTAGTTGTGACGAGTGTGCACAGATGATCATTACACCAGTGTACACGGTAGTATTGATGTGTCTAATTAGTTGTTGTTTACTAAGCTGTGAGTGAACACTCAGTCATTGGCAACGGGCTCTATGAAAGTCGGTAGGTTCAATTCTGGGAACAACCTAAATCATCAAAGCATAGGTGGCTGTACTTTCTCGACTGTTTGCCCCTCATGCACGGGCAGCCAGTCTACAAGCTCAGCACCTACCCTGTGTATGACTGCCGGGGGCCTGGGCGGTGACGGAGGTGACGGTGGAGGTGTTGCCGGTGAAACTTGCACACCGATGGTATAAGTGTCCTGCAAACGAGTGGAAGTAGCCAAGCGGAAATGAGTAGCAAAAAGGGTACTACACAGGAAGAGCAATAGCGGTGGAGATCAACATCCCACAGTCGCCTTGCCAGCATCAACATACCAGCGGTCACCATAAATGGGCCAATGGTTGATCTTACTCAAAATTGTTTTTGCCGCACAGTATTCATATATTTATTTATTTCTGCACCTCGTAGCCAATTGAATTGAAGAGAGGGTGAGACCAACCACGGAAGAAGAGAAAAAAGAAAATGAAGAGCGCGTACACAAAAGGGGGAAGGGATTAGCAAGTTATGGAATGCTCTTCCTATTATATTCTTGATGTCTCTCCAAAAGGTGGACCATACCGAAGTTATTTTTCTTGCCGGGTTTTCAGTATTTCGACCGGGTTCACCATTGACAATTGTGCAGACATGCTGCTCCAAATCCCATTTCTAGCCGACTTAGAATTGTGCTTTGAGCCTAGTATAATACGGCCTAAATTGGATTTGAAAATTGCCAGAGATAAATTGTTTGTGCATGGACTGCAATCATAGTGTTTGTCAATCCACAAGAAACTCTCAAGGCTGATTTCCCAAGACACCAAGCAGATAACTTGCAGCTGTAGCTGCCACTTTCACTTCGTCACAACGTACCGGTCCCTCGCACTGCATGCCAACATCAACTAGTTCCGGAGGCTGCGCAGTGTTGACAGAGAAGAGCATGAAACATAGAAATGCTTGGTAAGCTACACACCAAGTAGCGGGTACTCGCAACCGCTTTCAGACTGATGATACACAAAGTTCATAGCATTCAGGCCCTGCTCCGCTCCCTAACACACAATTCTCGATACAGTGAGGTATGACTCAGTTCAAAGCAGACACAATAGCCATGTTGCATGTTCTTCATCACCAAGAAAAGTACTTTAACACAGTCATGCATAATATTATCACCAGTCTTCAAAGTATTCCCTTGTCATCCGACGAAAACACTTCATATGCAGGGGGGGGGGGGGGGGCTTACCCCCAATACCACCCGCAAAGTCATGATGTCACCTCGATGCAAAGCTGGTGTTTACAGTGATGTGGCCACATCAACCACTATTAATGTATTTGTAGATATTGTCATGTGACTAACTCTGCCGGGCAGGGCTATGTACACTAATATACATGTCAAATACATGTACAGTCAGACCTTGCGTATCCGGTCCTCTTATCCGGATCCCTCGCCATCCGGAAGAAAATCGTTGGTTACCGATTTACAGCATAATGCTATGCATACATACAGAATGTGTGTTCAATTATCCGGTTCCCTCGCCTATCCGGACATCTTTGTGGAAAACGGATGTGTTCGGTTATGCGAGCCTCTGACTGTACTGGCAAGTGGTATTCATCAGTTCAAGGGATTGAAAATGGGGGAAATGTCCTTAAATCTTAACTGTCACCAGCAGGACTCAAACACACGTGTATGTTGGTGCAGAGTAACATCGATGGTAGGCAAGGAAGTTGATAGTAATATCCACTGCAGAGTAAAGAGGATAATGCTTACCAGGGGAATGGGACTTGGGGTTCTTGTTGCTGTAGCCATGTCCCGTGTGGCAATCTTGATTGGTATGGGGATCAAGAGAAGTTCACAATCACAGGAACAATACACTAGTTACCATGGTTACTGGCAGCGGTCACAGACAAAGCACCTGGAGCAGCTCTGCTTTGGTCAGGGCCGGGACCCTTCACACGGAATCCCATCATACGTCTGCAGGAAGTGTGCTGGGTGAAGGCTGATTCATGGGATTTCCTCATAGAATTCTTACCGTCGGCACGGCATCGCCGCACACAAGTTTGAAGTGTGAACTTAAGACTAGCTCAAGAAGTGCACAGCACCATGGTGGAACACTGTTATCACATAAACTCCACCAAAGCATTGCATAAATGCAGTGAGTGAACAACCCGGGCGCTGTTTGCCCAATCATCAACACTAGCCTAACCATCTCCCCATCCAACGATGCTGAGGTGACTTCCTGAACGACTCATTCTCACGAATTACCTGAATGCTCAAGCCTGCTAGGAGGTGATGGCATGGGCCAATGCTCAGCTAGGGCATGGAAGGATCCATGGGCTTAACACATCTGTCAATGAAATCCAGGCAAGAGGATTAGCAAGAGGCAAGAGGATTATGCTGATACTATTCTGCAATGCCGCAGTGGAAGAAGATGAAACGTTATGACTCTCTTCTGCGTTGAAATACCAAACTGGTTTGCATTCAGGGTAGAAACTAAGTAACAATCATACAGTTACAGTAGGTAATAGAGCACCTGGTGCACCACAACGCACTCGACCTCCATGGAAGTCAATAACTGACTGCATTTGGAACTACAGAACATACCACTGGAGCTCGTCGGCACTGGGTGGCAATGGTGCGTTGCGTTGGCTGTGCAAGTCGTTGAAAAAAATAGAAGAAATACGCGTACGTCAGTTGAGTGCGCTCACCTTCCCCATGTTAACGTTACTTCTCAACTTAGAATCTCCCAAGTTGGAAGACTGTCGGCATGGGCATTCAAGGTGTTAAAAAGCTAAGCACCAGGCCGTGGAATGTCAGTACCACTTCAGTCAGCACTGTGCTAGCTTTCGCACCTTCTGACTCATGCACCAGTATGTTGTTTATATATTAGTGTTGGGCAACTACAGAGAACATGTAAACCTTTGGTCTTTCTCTTCAAGTTTAATCCTTGGCTCTCCACCCGAGTCTAGAAATGCACACAGTGAAGATAACGTTTAAGAAGAGGTGTAGTTCCACAGTACAATATTTCACAACTGAAATGGATCTAGATGTATGCAGACATTCTCTGCACACTGAGGGGGATACCCTCATTCCGAAAATGTCAGTATAATGACAGCTGATACCTACTGGATCTTTAGTGCCTTCCTTGCAGTGCAATAGCCTAATAGAAACCAGGGAGTAGTAAAATACCATTATTTTACTACTCCCAGATAGAATCACTATCGTTTGGATGAGAAGACTGTTGGTCGCATTGCAGTGCCTATTTACTGCACATACCTTTCTGGGTGGCTCACATTGCATGCCAGCATTGTGGTAGGTCTTGATCTGAGAGCATAACAGTAGACAGAACATGCAAGAGAGTAGTTGCCACCCAGTAAAATGCACGGTTTAATTACACCATAGCTTAGCGGTAGAGCATCAAGGATCCCCGGTTTGAGTTCCGTGCTACTTTACTACGAGGGCTGCATCTCACTAGCATGTGTGTATTCACAGGAAGCGTGAGTTTCAAAGTCTAACTAAAGGAAGATCATAGTGAACGGTGCTTGCTGGGAGGATGAATACACAATCGATTAGTGGAAGAGCATCGCTGACCATACGAGAGGGTCCCTGGTTCGAGTACAGGCAGTGGAAGTCATTTTTTCTTGTAAGATTATCACTTTGAGATGCTGATCACAAGTCCTGCTGCATACACTGAGAACACACGTATGCTGGATTAGCATTTTTCTTTGAAGGTTGGGTGTTTACCACATTGTCCTTCGTGAGAATGATGCCTGAAAGCCCATTTGCAAAAAACGGCTGAATGATACATGTGCACACAGATTGAGTGTGCCTGCACCATATACACTGCGCTGTATGCATGTTACTTGACAGCGCAGGCTAGGCATGGATAGTCGGTATGTATCGCAGTTTTCTGCGAGTCACGGTGACTTTTCAGTAGCAGTAGATTGATTTTGCATCGCAAACGGCGATGCGATACAGGATAAATTCGTCCCTGAGTATGCCATGCGAACTATGAGTGACTCAGCACAAACAGCAACAAGGATACAACTTCATGCAAGTACCTTGGTTTGTGTACTCATTGTTTTCTTCTTTGGCGGCTAATTCACACACACAGAAAACAGCATAGCAGAACCATTAAATACACTTTAGAAAAGAATATTGCCAACTTGCTAGGACATGCCTTCATTTTAGAGTAGCACTAGTGTTTGTCACTCTATTCTGACATGAGCTGTGTGCATGTGAAGATTGTCGTCAAATTGTCCACCTCCAGATTTTCTCTCACTCTCTCATCTAGTCTATATCACGGGCCTGCCGTGTATCATGCTTTGTCTTGTAATGGTTCTCTATCAACCATGCAGGCGTTGCTGAAATTTCTTAACACTAACGGCAGTTCTATATACGCTGTGAATATGCTGTGCGTCAAGCGAAATTACTGGTCAGTCGGCGACACGCATTTTTCACAAAAATTTGCGTTTCACCTGCTGGGAGAGTATGCGTGTACTCGAGTCTCATCCTGAGCACGTTTTTTTCTTCTTTTTTTCAGCTCCAGTATAGCTGTATTTTTCATTGCAAAGCCGGCCTCGATTGTTGTGTTCGTTGTTCAAACGAAGTGGACATTCAATCATGAAGGCAGAGGACATAGGAGCCTGATTGGAGTTTCTCGTGCCATAGGACGGCCCCACAGAGACACTTTGGGATTTTCTGAATATAAAATACCGTACGCACGATGCTGAGATCAATTTGTGCGATATCAAATTGTTTGTGATCTACCACATCGAGCAGAACGGGATCCAAACACAAGCTTACCGATGGTTAGGCTGCCGACCTGACTGGACAAATGATTCCTGGCTTCACCAGACGCCAGAAGTCGGACACCATGTCCTTTGCTGCGACGTCCATCTCCAAAAAGAACTCCATCTTCGTCGTGAAAAGGCTTGAAATACTCAATATTCAACCGAGATTCGCGGTCTCACCCTTTCTTAGATCGAATCATTTTTTGTTGTAACAGTTGCAGGGCAGATCCCCGCCACTACTTCAACAGAAGATGGCTCCAAAGCATGCCTGGAACAAGCCATATCGAGGTTGCAAGCCACCCCTCTCAGCACTTTTTTTGAAGAAATTCGAAATTTCAATGGTGGAAGACATACTATGAAAAGAATTTCAAAAAGTATGTTTCGCGGAGCGATCGCTCAACCTACGTCATTCAAACTTTGCAGGATGGTTCAGACGTACATGCTAGGCATGGAACCACAGAAGATGATATCATAGCTGACACACAGAGTCACACACACAGCAGATTTGTGTGCACAGATACTAAATTAGTGGACGTCGTCATCTTCTTCCCGCTGATCTCAAATGTACTATGACGTGCTATTTCGCCTGACGTTTCAGCCAGTGCACAGTTTGAGGGTAATGTGAGTTCTGCGGTTGTAGACGTAATACATACAGAGCGGATGGATGCAGCAGATCAGACGGCGGCCACAGAGGAGGATTATCACACACACACACACACACACACACACACACACACACACACACACACACACACACACACACACACACACACACACACACACACACACACACACACGCACGCACGCACGCACGCACACACACACACACACACACACACACACGTGCACGCTCACGCACCCGCACACACACACACACACACACACACACACACACACACACACACACACACACACACACACACACACACACACACACACACACACACACACACACACATACACAAATGGAAGTGATGCGACATACCGGAGGAGCGAGCTGACACTGAATGGCCCTGCTCTGCTGCTGCACCTGCACAAAACATCACGGACAAGAATTGACATTTCTGTTCCACAGCTAGCCACCATTACTAGGTCATTGCTACGGTGCACAGATGTAAGGTAGTCTTGTAATTCTACCCCTCCAGATGAACTGCATGGCGTATTCTATTTTCATTTTTACGTCAAACAAAACCCTCCCTATGATTCATAAAGAAGGGAAGCAGGAGAGAGCTCGGCTACTGACACCCGCTATCCAAGCAAGCATTCTTTTTTTCTTCTAGTCAGCATCACAGTTATATATTTTCCCTTGCATCAGCATTGTGAAGAAGAGGCTGGTGCGACTTCGGCGATACTTGTATAGTGAAAAGGAAAGGGACACTTGGATATGAGTTATGAGTAACTATCCACCACTGTAACTGTCCACCACTGTAACTATACGCTTCTAGGACCAATCAGTAAAATAAGTGAATGATGATGCTGTTCTTGAGCAGCACGTTTTGTTTCACATACATTGTATTATACCTGTTTGGGCGGTTCACACTGCATGCCAGTATCACGGTGTGTCTTGAGCTGAACCAAGCGACACAGAGAGAGAGAGAGAGAGAGAGAGAGAGAGAGAGAGAGAGAGAGAGAATGAGTGAGAGAGAGAGTGAGCGAGAGAGAGTGAGTGAGAGAAAGCACAGGAGAGAGGCATTAGTATAATAATAGTTTAAAGTACGCAGTGATTTCCAGGTCAGTGTATATGTGTATAGGTGTATAGGTGTATAGGTGTATAGGTGTATAGGTGTATAGGTGTATAGGTGTATAGGTGTATAGGTGTCTGACAGTAGGTCAAAGCAGGTAGTGGGATTGGGTCCAGACTCTCTAACTCCTACATGTGACATACTGACACATTTTTATTGCTGCAGCATGCTTTTGTGTGTGTGTGTGTGTAGGATATGCATGATACTGTGGTTGCACACGTAATGATGGTGATGATAGAGTAGCTATTTTCTGGGCACAGTATATATTTCTGTAAGATTCGAGGCCTGGACCCTGTGGAAGGCAGCTGCTTGCATTTCTCTTTGTGTGACTCGGGTTTGGTTTTTGCACGACTCGGGTTTGCATGCCACGCATTACTCATGAACTGGTTTGCATGACTGGTATGGCGAAGTCCGTGGACAAACTTCAGGGACCACACACAACATGAAGAACTCAGCACTAAAAACAACAACCACACTCTCACCTGTGTCTGTACGCCAATTGAAGTCCCAGGGGGTGCCTATTATGCATGATTGTACAACAGTAAAGAAACCGGCAAGTGCCATCCAGTCAAAGCAATGTCACAGTACATGTGCCCATGTGTGCCTTGGCGCTCCAATTGCTAGAAGGCAAGGGGCAGTCATTCTTTCCTGAAGAGAATGACTCAGTGTGCCCCAGCCGTCCAGCAGAAGTCAAAGTCGGAATAACGTACTACATGATGGCGGCTTAGGTACAGTCAATACTTAACACATGCAGTGGATACGCCACGGAGAAGCAGACTATGGGAGCAATATGAAATAACCATCAACAACGGCGGCTGCGTCAGTGGATGTTCACTTTGGCAAGCACCACACTCATGGCTTACTTCACTCCTGTGCTCACGAGATCTTAAAAAGCAGCAGCAGTAGACAAGAATCAAGTGGTGCTTATACAGTAAACCTGTCAAAGCGACCATTCTGATAAGGCGACTACCTGCCCCAGAGGACCACTACAGTATCAAGGGATGTTGTTTCCAGTAAAACGATCCTGGATCAGGAGACCACCTGTACATGTACACAGAGGCCACATTTGTCAGGTCCTTTGATCGGTCGGCTTAGACAGGTTTCCCTGTGTACAAAAAGCAAGAATCAGAATATTCTAGTCAATCAGATTACCGGTTTGAGTAGTCGACAGTTGGTACCTCTGTCGCGTTTAGTCTTCGGCAGATAGGAAAAGACACGCAGAGAAAGAAGCACAGTGAGTTAGTAGTAACACACGGATGATCAATGGCCCTGTACAACATGAGATATCTATCAAGATCACTGGAACATTGTCTTACCTTTTCCGGCCGTGGAAGCAGGGCTGGGGGTGGTGGTGTCGGTTCCCTCGGTGGAGTTGGTTCTCTTGGTGGCGTTGGTTCCCTTAGTGGAGTTGGCGGCGGAGGTTGTGGTTCCGGAGTTTTTTCCTTCGGCGTCGGCTCGCGGGGAACCTCTGGAGATGCCGGCGGCACTGGAGCATCCTTTATACACGTTGCAAACACAACAGCACCCGAATGGTTGCGATAGAAGTCGCCAACGTCTTGACAGTCCCATGCCGATGCCCGGAACACTCTGATAGAACTTTCCGTCCTTTCTGGCAACTCCATGTCGGCTTCAACAAACCGCTCCAAGTCCCACGTATCCACAAGGATGAAATGTGCCTCTGGGTAGTTTTTTGATATCAGATTCCTGTTGTTCTCGTCTTCGGCTTGCTCTTCGGTGCTATCAGAAACCGGGTCTCGATAGCACCAAGTTTTCAGTGTGGTGAAAACGTCGTCATATTCTGCAGCAAATCCAGGACATGTAGAACATGCCGGCACACACACACACACACACACACACACACACACACACATACACACACACACACACACACACACACATACACACACACACACACACACACCACACACACGCACTCACACACGCACGCACACGCACACACACACGCACACACACACACACACACACACACACACACTCACACACGCACGCACACGCACACACACACACACACACACACACACACACACACACACACACACACACACACACACACACATTATACAGATTGCACCACGATTGAAAGCAGGAGGGGGCTAAGGGGAGGAGGTGGTGTTTTCTGCACCCGGTATCTGCACCTGTTGATAATCAAACGCCTAGAAAACTAGCTACATGGCCAACCCCCCCCCCCCCCCCCTAATTAACATCAGCATGTACTTCAGACTGTTCATAATCCATGCAGTAATGGATCCAAGGAGACAGTGTAAAAAAAACGCAAGTCTTTTGACACCGGAAAGTACTCCAATACTTGCTCTTTGTCATCAAGGACCCTACTCACATTTAGCCCAAATGTGTGTGGGGCACAGCAGTGACACAGTTAAAACAATTGCAAGGTGTTGTGGCACTTGATGAGAATGTTGCGATGTTCTATGCTAAGAGGGAAGTTAGCAGACTGGAACATCCACTGGAGTGGTGGAATCTGAAATCTTGCCGGCTAGTGGAGCTTGCTTCGCTTGCTTGTCGCGTGCAAATCATGCTAACTACATATACGGCAGAATGATGAACAAACTCTGTTGCTAACCACTCCCACTATTTAAATGCAGGGGTCCAGCTCTTTCTTTTTCATAACAAATCCAGGTTTGACTTTGTCTGCCCGCGGTATTTCCTCAGAACCAGTAGACACTTTCTCTGTAGCAGTGACTGTGCGATTATCTGCCAGCACGGGCACATCATGTGCCTGTCCTCAGTGATGATGACGAACTGAGCCTGACTGTCCATGCTTTTATCGGGTTTTATTTGATTCTGATGATTTGGGCAGGTGGTTCAGACTAACTTATCCAGGAGCCGTGGCCGATGATGTGCTATGCGCAGTCTTCATAATGTTCTTTAGCAATGTTTTACTTCAATCAAAGTGTATCAGATTACACATATCTACAGTGTAAAACTTTGCATACTAGTATTTCTGAGATCTGACTGTCCAAAAGAACTAATCCGAACATTGGTCGCCAGGCGCGTGCCCCGTGTGGGTTCCTGGGTGCCCGGAACCCCTCTTTTTTTCGCTCAAAATGCAGGATTTTGCTTCATTTTTGGAAATTTTTCCCGGGGGAGGCCCTCGCAACCCCCCTTGAATGGCACCGGGGCACGTGCCTGGTCGCCAGCCCCAAGAACTATTGAGTATTGGAGCACAGATGCATGCAGTGTAGTGTAGTGTAGTGTAGTGTAGCGTTTGCAGTGTAGCGTAGTGTAGTGTAGCGTACAGTAATACTAATAGCAGCTCAGAGTCTTACAGAGCTCAGAATTCAGTTGCAATGATTACAGGTATGTGCCCTACGTACTTAGTTGTGTCTAAAGCCAGTGTCTAGACCCACTGTGGTCGGATTTAGTAGATGCACCATCATCTCATTTGCTTTATATCAACAATTCATTCCTCCTTTGCATAAAAATATTTTTATTTTCTATTTAGTCGCACCTATGACTATGTAAGAATGCACACTAGTTGCAGTTGCCAGATCAGATGCAGATGGTGTTAGTGATGGCGAAAAAGACAAACGTACAGGAGCAACAACATTCTAGCAAAGCTGAATGCACTGAGTCTGTAAGGTAGTGGACGTTCCTAGACTACAGCCCATCCCGTCAACATCCCGTCAACATCTGCTTACGTTCCGACACGAGAAACTTGAGGAACTTGGTTGGAAAAGTCCCGTCTGTCTGACTGTCTGCTGTGTCAACGTCGGCAGCACGCCAATTGCAAGTGCCAGTTTTCCCAACGGCATTGCGGTCGCTGATCTTCAGTCGCTCTTCGCCTTCTGTCGACGTAGGGTTTACGTACAGGCTGACGCAGCGGTTGTTTTGCTCGTCGTACGGACTGAAGACGTACAGAAATCCATAACCCGTATAAATTTCCGCCTCCTCTGTGCTCGGCAGGTAATCGGTTCCTATGATCTTCACCTTGATGTCTTTAGGACCGCTCAGAGGCGGGTACCAGGTCTCGGTGAAGGACCCCTGGCTGCCGGAAGGCTCCGACATGATTTTGTAGTTGGTGCGGCGTCGTTGAACTAAATTGTCGGAACGCCAATGAGCAACTCCGACCCCGTGTCACAGTTGTATTTGACCCTGCGGGGAAGAACTGAGCGGCACGCCGTGTCACTGGACACTGTGTAGGTCACGCGTAGTCTACATGTACATGGCCTATCAGCCGAGCAGGTTCACACACATGAGACTGAGGCAGTGAGGCTTGAGACTGAGGAGTGAGGGTGCCGCACGACGCTGGAACCCAGCACACGGACATTCTACTCCTTTTCAACTCGCTCAGTGGTCTCTCCCGCAACTCAACGCAAGCTTCACCCTCAACTACCAGAACTAACAGCCCCTCCGACCAATGCTTGCTCTTTCTTTCCGGCCTGTAAACGGCTACATCTGAAGCCGGCGGGCGCGCGGTTTTGTTGCAGTTTATTTAGACCCACATAACGTAAGGTTGCTACATAATGTGGTCTACTTGTGGAACAACATAATATTTGCGGTGTTATCAAGACGTTGTGTACTCAGTAGTCACTTTGTACATGTACTAGTATCGGCACCGAGCTGATAATCTTGTGCCCCACCATACTGCATGCAGAGTAAGACACCATGACAGAGCTACCTCTAAGCCTAAGCCTAAGGCTAAGCTAAAGCAGAAGAGGCCTACATGTAAGCCCTATGCCATAGCTATGCCAACGTTAACGACGTGCACGTGCAACTAGTGAGTAACATGACAAGTGTGTATTTTTAGAAGTGCTGTAGAGTGTAGTCTTCGCACAGCACGATCGTACGTAGATCAACGAAGTAGATCTACGAGCTAGCTGCGTACTCGGCAGACGCCAGTGCAGTACTGCAGTAGACTATTTTCGGGAAAGCAACTCGGTGACATGAACACTGACTACCACAACATTAAAACTACACGCACGAGCACAAACAATGTAATTGTTACATGACTTGTGTTTGTATCTGTCCTGATCATTTCGTCTCTTCACCAAACATTAATTTTCGCCACGATACCATGGTGAAGGTCCCAGGTTGATCGGAGCAGCCGTTCCCGAGTTATACCCGCTTGAAGTTTGCACGAAATTTGGTGACAGGTAGCTGTGTTTGCTAACTAATTACTGAGTTGAGAATGTACCCCGACATCTTTTGCGACATCGACACAGTCACACTGTGCTAACCCCCCCCACACACACACAAACCGGCTGAGGCATTCTTTTGCTTATTCATCTCACACGTAACGTTACACGTACATGTACATGCGCACGACTACTAACTACAGTCGTCCCTCTCTAATCCGGCACTTTATAATCCAGCACCCTCGATAAACCAGCACAATTTTCAGTAGCCAAAATGTCCTCTTCATGCACATTGCAGCAGTAAATCGGATTTGTTAATCCAGCACCCTCCCTAATCCAGCAGATTTTAGTGGCACAAATGGTGCCGGATTATAGGGACCACTGTATTACTAAGTAATAGTTAGTATTTTGTAAGACTAAGTCTTAGTAATGTTGTACATGTAGTTGTTTTTGTTGTTTGTTGTGATGTTTTGTTTTGTTTTGTTTTGATGTGCTGTGGAAATGACGGGGAGACTGTGTTTTATGATTTCCATGTTTGAGTGGAGTCTCTATTTGATCGCTTCTTTGTGGTTTCTATTTCATGATTTCAGTGTGTGAGACTTCATTCACTCTTTTTCTCTTTAATTTTCTTCTTCTCTTTAAAGAAATTGGGTGTTTCTTGCATACACCATGTACACACCTTCATTTGCTGTTCCTTTATGCCTTCTTTTTGATGGTTGCTGTTGCTAATTTGGATTGGAACAAAAGCGATTCGCCCATGAACTTAGTAATCCCTAAGAGAGTGGTGGACATCACGCAATTGCATCCGATAAAGAACTTTGAAAGGGAGTTTGTCAACTGACAACCGCTCTATTCAGTTACTATTCACATTGTGAATAGCAACTGAACTGAATAGAGCGGTTGTCAGTTAACAAACCCCTTTTCTTTGATTTAGTAATACAATATGTAGTTACTATAGTTAGTACTAGTACGCAGTCCATTATAATGTAAGGAATTAGGTCGAGATGCTGCATTTCTTTCTTGCTCTTGAAATGGTTTGTGACGTGTTTCCGTGGGTGCAGAGCATCCTAACGTTAATTGCGCAGCCGAGCACGGTCATTATTTCTTGATCAATGCTGCTTGCATAATTTTGTAGGCTATACTATTAGTGTATGTGACCTTGAATAAATCATGGCACTACATTACAGTGAAACCTGTCCAAGACGACCGATCAAGAGACCTTCAAAACGTGGCTTCGGTTATCAGGTGGTCTCCTTATCCAGGGTCATTTGACCGGAAGTAGCATCCCTTGATCCTGGTTTCAGTGGTCTTATAGGACAGGTGGTCGCCTTATCCGAGTGGTCGCCTTGACAGGTTTTACTGTATTATCATAAGATCAAATCTTGAACTATCAGTATCACCGTATTACGATCGAGACAAACCGGCAGATTTGGTATGCGGATGACTCCAGTGGTGCTGGCAAGATAAGAGCGGTTCGGGACTGGTGGATAACAATCCAGGAGCACGGCCGCCTGTATGGACATTTCACCAATCCGGACAAACCCCTACTTCTCGTGAAGCCCGGATTGGAGGAGGAGGCTTAGTTCTCATCTGTTTGAAGGCACGGGTGTCTGCATTGTGACTGGCAGCACTAAGTATCTGCATTGTCACTGGCAGCACTAAGTATCTGCATTGTGACTGGCAGCACTAAGTATCTGCATTGTCACTGGCAGCACTAAGTATCTGCATTGCATATGTACGCAACAAGTCTGTAACGGACCAACTTATCTTGCTAACCCAATCAATGGCTGTAAATATTGATAATGGCACTAATTTTGACCTGATATCTCTAGATTTCAGGAAAGCTTTCGACCGGGTCGACCACTCTATACTCCTAAAGAAATTCGGTAAGATTGCTACAGCTTCGTCAGTAAAATGGCTGAAGAGCTTCTTAGGGGATCGACAAATTGAAGTGAAGGTACATAGCACTAAATCGAAGAAGCGGAGCATCAACTGCGGAGTGCCTCAAGGTTCCCACCTTTCACCACTCCTATTCCTACTCTATATAAATGACCTGCCCAACGCTATGCAACATTGCACGCAATATCTATTTGCAGATGATGTCACCCTCCTACTGGCTTACAAACCTGAAGACACCCTCGCCAGTAGAGCGAACATGCAGTCTGATCTCGATGCATGTCAAACATGGAGCAGGAACAATGGAGGTGAATTCTCAGCAAGCAAGACATCCGTGCTGTACCATAGAGCTATCAATGATACACCTACTGCAGGAATCCAATACCAAATGTACAATGAGCCATTAACGGTGGTTTCTGAACTGCAACATCTTGGCATCACCTTGACCGACAACCTGGATTTCCGCAAACATGTCGCCTCAATAACTTCGAAGTTCAGATATCGAGTGCACCTACTGTCAATTATGTCCCAGCAACTTACGCCTTCGGCAATGATCATACTGTACAAAGGGTTCGTAAGACCTGTGATCGAATATAGCTGTACGGTGTGGTCGTTTGGATCTAATAAGAAACCCATGACCACTCTTGATCAATTACAGGCAAGGTTTGCTAGAGCTCTACTGAAAAAGAAAAAAATTGCATTTGATTACACTTCTTCCAAATCTGTCTTAAATTCTAAATGCTCCCTAGAGTCTATAGCCTATCGTCGTCAAATCATCAATCTCACTACTTTTCACAGATATGTTTTCCATCATCGTGATTACCTTGCTGATTTCCATTTCAAGATTACGAATAGTGAGCGACGACCAAATAAAATCATTCTTCCCAAATTTAAATCATTGTCTAAGTCTCTCTTCATGTTCCGAACTGCTATTCTATGGAACTGTTTACCCCCCAGTCTAACATCGGAAGCCTCGCTCTATAAGTTCAAAGCTGCCCTCAGGAAATTTACAGCTGACTATGCTTATGCAATCAACGGAATTCCGCCACCTTGCAGTTGATTTTCCCCATTTTTCTCCTCATCAATCCCTACTTCTCTTTGTACATACATCTACATCTACTGTTCTTTCAATCAAATGAACCCCTCGATAGGCACATTGCCTTTGGGTCATTTCATAATAATAATAATAATAATAATTCGTTCTCACTTTTTTGGTTTTTGTTGCTGATACACACTTGTCACGCTTAGTTCTTACTTGTATACCCTTGCTTTCTGCACACTTTTGTGAGAAATCGCACCTCGATATTCCAGTGCTGTCATTGTATCGTGTCACCCTACCTTGATTGCTATTATTATTTCCTTTGTTCTCATTTTGTTCTTTAGTACAACGGTGATTCCTGAAGAGTGTTGTACGAAAACTTGTTCGAATCATCTTTTTTTTCCATTGCCCTTTTCTTCTTACATGTATTTTTTCTTTACCCTTTAGGTTGTTTCTTGCATCGTCTCAACCGCTTACATTGTTAATAAAGTAGTCCACATGTCGCTTCAGCTCGTCCTACTTTAGAACTTATTGCCGTATTAAAATTATTGTCTCCTCGTCGAATTTTTAAATATTATTTAGTAGAGTTTTTCAGTGGAATTGTCATGGCGATGATGATGTCCGATCAGATCGACCATCTCCACGTACTACGTGACGTAGCTATTCCAAACTCGTCGAAACTTATCTACCTCTCCCATCGGATGAGGTTGTGGAGTTTCGAGGAGCTTCGTTTTTCTGAAGAGGCCAATAAGGCCTGCTCTTCAGAAAAACGAAACTCCTCGAAAAGTCAAAGAGTGACAACTCGAACGCGCCCTTAATGTACTTTCAGTGCCCGAAGATCTCGTCAGGAAAAATACAGTATCTACTCAATACGCTAATTAATATTTGAAAGAATATCAAGACCAGGTATCAAAAGTCACGTGCATGTAGGGCAGATCAAAGGCATAATTTCCGTACTTCGAAGTGCATGCACCCAGCTTGCAGATCGTTTCATCGCTCCTGCCAGCGTTCAACGAATAATTATTATAATAATAGTTCGGCAAGAAGCGTGTGCTCCTCGTTGGAGCAACCAACTTCAAAATCTATAGGATCTAGCAAATTAAGAGATAGATCGCAGGAATTAGTGGGGGTTAATATGAGCTGGATATAATTTATCGTAAACACGACAATGTCCACTAGCACCACGGTCCACCAGTTTATTGACAATCAGCTCATGCGATACAATTGCACGACACTGACCAACGGTACTGACGTTACTTAAATGCGGCTTTTATTCAACATGACATGGAAAGAAGAATCATTCATAGCATAGTACACCAAAGATACAAGAGATGAAACTCGGCGATGAAATCAAAATGAAAATTTGAAATAGTCCACCCCGCTCAAGTAGTTACGCCCCAGTATAGCCTTCGACACGCACGCACTTGGCACCTCCCACCAGAACCGACCGCTGTAAAGACTCCCACTGT